CCAATTTTGATGCAACTTTAGATTTATGTTTATATCACAAAGATATCGGTTCATTTCATTAATCACGCATGAGGATGAAATCAGGGCTCGACACTGCCGACGGCCTCGGTGGTGATGGCCCTCGAATTTTTAGAATTTGGCCGCAGCTTCGTGGCTCGATTTTTAACTATCTTCAGCCATGTATGGTCGCCGATTAGTGCTGGGTATCGAGAGTTATTTTTACTATCGATAATCGGTATCGAAACAATCTTATTTTCACGGTCGTAATGAAGACTGGATTACGTGTTTTAAAGTCAAACCATACGATGTTGTGATACTCCGATAGATGTTTTTGTTCGTCTAATTAATAATAAACTGTCTCATATTATGTATAAATTGTTCTTTATTTTTAAATAATGTAGGTTTGGTTATGAATGACGAAATACCATTGATAGGCCTATGTATGTGCAGGAACCAAAATAAAATGAGCATGAGTCGATTCAAAACATACATTGCGTACGTGAGCGCGACAAATACCAACATGGTGGACAAATCGTTGTCGATTCGTGTGCAAAAACTAAAGAAAATGTAATAGTCTAAAGAGCTTGTTATCACGAATGCGTAAATTGTTTATTATTATTAAAAAAATACAGCCTTGATTCCGAAAGAAGAAATACAAACGTTTTTGTCATCCATCTGAAACTGCCACACCGGTACTCGATAGTGCTTTTTGGCATATCTTATCGATACTATGGATATTTTACCCAGGTCTACCGATGATATAGTAATACTTTCAACTCTCAATATGGCTACATGCCAATTTTTTAAATATTTTTTAGAATAAAAAATCGTACTAAAAACGGTACGATAAGAATTTTCTCCCTTAAAAAAGGATGCATTATTTTTGTGAAAGTAATAAAAATATTGAACGTGATGTGATAGGCAGGCCTGTAACAACATTTTGACTGAGAAACAAGATCTACAATAAACAGATTTACATATGATCGACATATTAAAACCTTCTAAATAAGCTGATAATATCATAATTCATCACTTAAAAATTGGCCTTGGATTTTCAATTTTTGGCCCTGGATCAAGGTTGCACATTGGCCTATCGTAGGCCAAAGATGGCCTTCGATCGAAAAAACGAATTTCGAGCCCTGGATGAGATTGATTTAAGCCGCACTGGCGCACCAGGCATGATAATCTTCAAAATTCAACGAAGTCACACTCTAAGTCAATTCCAAACTTTTTGTTTTTGTTGGTATTTTGATTTTGTTTTCTTAACTTAAAAGGTTAGATAATCAATCTTAAAGATACATTATGGGAGATAAGATAAAGAGCTGGCAGTTCTCACTATAATAGTTAAAAACTAGATAATGTAAAGAATATGCTGAAAATTTCAGTCAAATTGATCCACTCTGAACCAAGATTTTAGCAATTGAATTTTGGGTCTAGCCTCTATCATCATTACTAAAGTTGGTACGATAAAAAACATAGTCTCGTTCGATTATCCATTTCATGATTAAATTATGAATGAAAGTTTAGCAGCAAATCAGATCATACATGTAGTCCAATAAATATCGCAAGCTAGCATTGACATCGAGAGTTGATTATGGTCTGGATAAGTTAATGTATAATTAATAATTTAGATAAAATTCCAGGTCAAAGAAAGACATGCAATTGGCAGATTTGGCTCTTGCATATTGGCGTACATTAAGCCGTGAGAAATTTTGTATTTTAGCGAAAAATGTCAATAATACATCATTACTTTAAGGGAACATGCATATTTTTTTTTCTAAAGTAAACCCCCAATTACACAAAGTGATATTGACGAATGACAAGCTCCATTAGTGACAAGTTGATTAGTCAAGTGATCATTAATCAATAACACCCCACTGCCCACTTAATCAATCAATTTCGTCTGTAGGTATGCAGGTTAGCCACGGTGGCTTGCTAGCCTGGAGGTCGGATGTTCGATCCCTGCATTGGCCGAGAAAGTTTATCAGGATTTTCCGACGTGGTTTCCCTTGTCAGTGGTGCAGAACGGAGGGCCTGACAAGGACAGCTGTCTAGTCCTTCGGATGATATGAAAAAACTGAGGTCCCGTGTATATATTGGAATGCACGTAAAAGATCCCTTGGCAGTTGGAATTCAATATAAGAGTAGGCGTATGCACGTCTTCATTAGCCCAGTATAGGAGCAGAACAGTAGGACGTTAAACCCATTTCATTTCATTTCATTTGTATGCAGGTTAACTGATGTTTTAGATAATCTCTCTGATCTTGTTGGACACAAACAAGCGATCTTAAACATATTTGAGAGAGAGAAACATATTTGAGAGAGAGAGAGAGAGAAACATATTTGAGAGAGAGAGAGAGAGAGAAATATATTTGAGAGAGAATTTAACCTCCAGTCCATGCAAACTAGGTCATTTCTCTCTCTCTACCTTTATACCCCCCCCCCCCCCATTCGATTTTGGATTCATTTCAAATGAATTTCTAGATGAATAAACACCCCAGGAGATTTGTTAAATCTGTCTAGACCTGGTGGTGTAGCCTCGCCATTAGTAAAATTAGATCTATAAGATCATTTTTGACCTTCTGGTGTGGACAAGCCCTCAGTACCATCATAATAGATAAATCTTGACCTTGTGGTGTAGACACGTCCTTAGTACCATCATATGTATTAGATCAATCTTGATCTGGTGTAGACACACCCTCAGTAACATTAGATCTATTAAAACAGACTTGACCCATGACACTGTGTAAAAGTATTAGATGGGCGGGTATTGAGGTCAATTGTCTGTTTGTTTTTAACAAGGGTATGTTAAATCTGATAGTTGGGGTTTAGTTTAACATGGATTAGACCAATTGTGTCTTATTGAATTATTATAGGGATTCAACTTTCATTTTAACATTTTTCTCAGATACTTTTTTCATGGAGTGGTCCCTGATGCACGAGTCCTTTAGATCTTACAGTCTGTCAAGGAGTTGGGTCTCCTGTCCAACCTTATTGGTTTTCTCCCGGTTCTCCAGTTTCCTCCCACTGTTAAAGACCCATGTATAAAGAGAAAGAGAGAAATGGGGTTTAACGCCCACTCGACACAAACTAGGCCATTTCGGGACTAACATGGTTTAATTTTATTTACATAATTCGCTTGCGCGTAGAGGTCTTTAGCAGTGGGAGGAAACCGGAGGCCCCGGAGAAAACCCACGAGGTTGGACAGGTGACCCTACTCCCTGCCACGTACAACCGGGGATTCAAAACCACGCCAGTCGACTCAATGACAGGCTTTATGATACAGCGCGCACACTCTAACCATTCAGCCATCCACCCCCCCACCCCCATGTATAAAAGGGAATTATTGAAATACAATTGAACCACATGTTAGTCTAGAAATGACAGGGTTTGATTCGAGTGATCATTAACCCCGGTTTCTTTCTCACAAGGAGCCACGGTGGCTAAGTGAGTAAGACAGTGGCTCGCTCCCAGCATTGGTTGACAAAGTTCATCAGGATTTTATGACATGGTTCCCCTTGTCAGTGGTGCAAGACAGAGGGCCCCTGTATACATTGGCATGCACGTCAAAGATCCCTTGGCAGTTAGAATTTGATATAAGAGTAGGCCATAGTGCCGCTCCCCAGGCAAAACTTTCCTCATAGCACACTGTATGTTGTATGCCCGTCTTCATTAGCCCAGTATTAGGAGCACAAAAGTAGGATGTTAAACCCCACGAACCCTGAATTTGACACTGTGTGGGGATCAAACACACCTGTGAGTAGATAACTACAGTATGGCTAGACTATCAACTTGTGGGTTATCAGATCTGTATGGCTAACCACTGTGTCAATAATTCTTATTTGTACCTGGAAACTTTGTGATCAATATGTTCATTGGACTGATTTAATTTGTTACCTGAGGGCTTTGTAATCGATGTGTACTGAGAAGGTGATTATACCTGATTGATACCTGGAAGCTTTGTGATTAAACTTGTTATGACTGTAGGTAGAAAACAGAGGTAAAAGTTGACCTTTACAGCCAGCACTCATGGTGTTATGTCGTTAACAATTAATCTTGTTAATCTGTATAATACCTACTTAGAGACTACTTACAAGGCAATCTACATAATTAGCTTGAATTATATAGACAGTGAAGGGCATAACCATACCTACACATAGTAGCAGTTATTTGGGTTCAGTATTAGTAATCAGCAGCTTTCTTGCTTATTGGGAGTCACGTTGGCTAAGTGGGTAAGACGCTGGCTCGCTAGCCTGAAGGTCGCATGTTCAATCTCTGCATTGGCAGAGAAAGTTTATTGTGATTTTCTGACGTGGTTTCCCCTTGTCAGTATTGCCATTATGAAAACTTCTAGATGTTACATTGTACTGTAGAAATGTTAACTGGCCAAGTAGAAATACTGACTGTATACTTAAATGATGTAAAAATAAAAGTTGTTTTTTGTTAATGTGAAATTTTTTGTGAATATGAGATGATTATCTGCTTAAACTTGAAAGAAAATCAGATTTAATGTATATTACTTACTTATATACACATGTTAAATACAGTGGTAAAGGGCTTATATATAACCTGTATTATGCCTACAGGTAGATCTATTGTTGTATATACCTGTACATGTACAGTCTACTTATATGTACCTGTAACACCGGTAATTACCTGACTCCTACCTGTGTTGTATATAGTAAGAGAACCTCGGTGGCTGAATGAGTAAGGTGCGTGTATGGTGGCTGCTGGCTGGATGGCTAAGCTTGATTTTGTCCTAGAAGTTGTTCTTGTAAGGAGTGCAGGACAAAGGACATTTTATATTTTTGTTTTAGGTCTGAACTTCTTTTCAATCAATTTGCTCCACATTCTTCCTCCAAGTACAAGTGTTTGGTTTTTGCAAGTTCGACCTTTTGACAATGTTCTGGACATTTTAACACTTATATTTTGCTTTTGTTATTTGACATCATTTATGAAATAATCTGAAATTTTATTTCCATTTTTTTTTTAAATTCCAGGTTAAAATCTGAGAGAACTGTGAAAGATGAGTCAACGAATAAAACATGTTCTCACCATCTTTGTGTTGGTCGTGTGTATGCTGGTGATGTGTGTATTGACGGGAGCTCTGCGTGTAGGATCCGGATCCTCAATGCCAGATCTAGATCCGTTCAAAGAGTATGGCTATTTTGTTACGGGTATTCTCTACACTCTGAGACTATTGACGCTTATACCGTTACCATTGACCGTCTGTAACATTCTTGGTATTGTCTGTTTCAACTGTTATCCGAGCACTCCTGTATTGAGAACATCGCTATTGTTCGGCCCTTTTGTGTGTTTTCGTGTCGTCACTAAAGGCACATATCCCGAACTAGTTAAGCGAAACATCCAAAGAAATATAGACACTTGTATGAAACTAGGTTTAACTAATTTTGTGTTTGAGGTCGTCACTGACAGTGCTATAGGAGTTTCAAAATCGGCGCAAGTGCGAGAGCTTGTAGTGCCTGATAAGTATCGCACTAAAAATGAAACGCTTTACAAAGCGCGTGCATTACAATATTGTTTAGAAGAAGGAGTAAATATATTGAGTGATAATGATTGGATAATACATTTAGATGAAGAAACATTAATTACCGAAAGCAGTTTAATTGGTGTGATTAATTTTATAAATGACGGTCAATATGAATTTGGTCAAGGTGTCATTACCTACGCTAACGAGGAAATTGTTTGTTGGATAACAACATTAGCAGATTCTATACGTGTGGGTATCGATTATGGCATACTGCGGTTTACTATGAATGTTTTGCACCGTCCCGTATTCAGTTGGAAGGGTTCATTTATCGTGGCGAATGCAGGAGCTGAGCGAAAGATCACCTACGATTTTGGACACGAAGGCAGCATTGCTGAAGATTGTTTTTTCGCATTGACCGCGTGGAAGGAAGGATTTAAATTTGGTTTTGTGGAGGGAGAGATGTGGGAAAAAAGTACATTTTCTGTGATGGATTACATTCGTCAGAGAAAGAGGTGGGTGCAAGGAATCAGCAAAGTAATACTAAGTAAAAGCATCCCTTTTCAGTATAAAGGAGGGATCAATTTGATGATGATTGCGTGGGTTGTGATGCCCTTCACAGTTCCAAACATAGTTCTAGCGCCCTTATTTCCACTTCCCCTGTTCGGCTTTATAAATACAGTAATAAGCTTGATGGGAGGAGCAATGATTTTCCTGTTTACATTTGGAGCCCTGAAATCGTTCTCACATCGACGGCATATCTTGTTTAACTTTGCGTTGTGTGTTATGATACTGTGTATTATGCCAGTTGCCATGATAATGGAGGCTATTGGGGTCGTTTGGGCTTTTATGTCCAGTAAGAACAGTGGATTTCATGTGGTTAAAAAGGACGTTCATGAGACGCCATTGCTCAGTCATGTATGAGAAGACCAGCCATTTATTTTTAGTTTTAAGTTATTGTTTCCTTTATAATACTGTAACATTCCACATTTACAAGAAATACACCGAATTTTAGTGGAGTTTTAAATTTAGATATAGTTTTTAAAAAAAGTGATGGGCGTAGCTCAGTAATATTCTCATTGACCAGTATAGACAGGGGTCATGTTTCTTTTTTAAGAGAAATACCACCGATTCGGACCCTTTCTGACATTTTTAAATTCAGCTTGTGCTAATTGTTGCGCCCACATTTTATGTCGTCACTTCTGCCCATTGGTTCATGTGACCACAATTCCTGTACACTCCACAGGTCAAAATGTCTTGAGATTCTTGTCTGGAATGGTTTGTCTTATAGTAGAAGTGTTGTTTCAGCTTGCTGGAACTGTTTGGCCTGTAGTGTACTAAATTTTAATCATCAGAACCTTGTGAACACTCTACAGAACCATGTATTTTGTTACTTGTTGGCATTGTTTAGCTAGTTATCAGGTCACATATCAATTGTGTGGAGTTATTGCCCCTGTCAAACATTGTAAATACTTACATTCACATGTATAAGTCAGTTTTTCTGATTTTCTTCTTTTTTTTTATTGAATTTCGCAATCATACACGTATATACATGTATCTATTTAATGTATTGCATCCGACATCGAAACCATCAAAGCACTCTACATGTACTTGTGAGATTTATTAGGATTGTTTGGCTAGTTGTAAAGAGGAACCCTATCAGAATTGGGTCACTCACTCCATGACTGTTAAAAGTGTTAGAATGTTAGTCAAAATGAAAATCTTGTTACTTCATCTTTTGGATTACGGATTTAGACCATAATCCTGAAATGCTAGATGAAGAATTCTGTAACATAAGTTAATGAATTTAAAGCTGTGGATTACAGACCAGATGCAACCTAAGATCACCACATAGAAGAAAATATTCCCGATGGGCAAAAAGAAGAGGAATTGATCCTAGTCGGGCCCCTCCAATTTTGTCTTTGGTTCCTCAGGGTCTTGATGTTGGCTTCATAATCGTCTTTTTTTCTTAAAATATCAAAATTTTAAAATAACTAGCCAAGATTTCATTTTTTAAAAAAAAAGAAGCAGAACTTTCAATTTTATGATTGATCCCAAAGAACTCAGATTCAAATTGATGTGGGCCTCACTGTCAGATTTTTTTTTCCTGCTTGTAGAATCTTAGAAGTGTTGCCAAATTACGTTAAGCTTATATAGGTCCTTTTTCAGTTGTCAAAGACCGTCGCAAAATTGCAATACAGATTACTCGTGGAACTGGGTGGGTCGGTTGGACGACCCCGCAGATAGAAAATGATAAATTAAATACATGTATCAGTGGGGTGGGGTGGGGTGGGGAGGCTGGAGATGTCTTGTGATCGCGATTTATCTATGGGTTATTATTCGTTTTGACGCAAGTTCGGAAATTTTGCGACGGCCTCAACATACCTATAGCTGTAATTACAGGGTTTTTTTGTTTTTTGTTTTTTGTTTTTTGCTTCATGCAGAATCTTAGAAATAATGTTTTTATTTTATTTATTTTATACATACATATATCTATATAGAGCTCTGTCACTACATGGACAAACCATTGACTAGTGACATTACATTCTATTATATGACTATTCTAAATACTCAGTATTGCAGCTCTATTGATTTAGACCAAACCAAAGTTATTTATAGTTCTTCCTGATCCAATCTGATTAAAATTCAGATCTATATTTCGTTTCGTTTTTTTTATACTTTCGATGGCCTACACTACATGAAGATCTGACAAGTTATAGCGATAGGTCACGTCACGGGTCAAAAGACCGACTTATGACCCTATGATGTCAGACATTTGATTAACCAATCAGCATTGATGTTACTAGTGGATTACCCACAGTTCCTTGAAAAACACACCTAAAGCTCGCCGTAACAGACCGTTTCATTGGCTTATCCCTGACAGCATTCAGAACACGAGTTAAATAACAACTCTTCCAGATCCAAGTGTAGTAAAGACAAGTAAAACGAAATTTTGAACTATAAAAACGAAACGAAATAGAATCTGTGTTTCAACCAGATTGTTCCTGATCTTCATACATGTACATTACAATTTATTTTCAGCATGTATGTAAGGGGGGGGGGGGGGGTGGATGACTGAATGGTTAGCGTGCGCGCGTTGTATCATAAAGTCTGTCATTGAGTCAGCTGGCGTGGTTTCGAATCCGCGGTTGTACGTAACAAGGAGTAGGGTCGCCTGTCCAACCTCGTGGGTTTTATCTGGGTCCTCCGGTTTCCTCCCACTGCTAAAAACCCCTATGCACAAGCAAATTATGTAAATAAAATTAAACCATATGTTAGTCTCGAAATGTCATAGTTTGTGTCGAGTGGACGTTAAACCCCATTTCTCTCTCTCTCGCTCGCATGTATGTAAATTGACCAGAACTCTTAAAAATTGTTGATTTTATTGGATTTTATTTGTTGATTTGTTTTGTGGGATGACCATCTGTCTGCGTCAAAAGGGGAGGTTGAATGACCGAAGGGTTAGCGTGTGCACGTTGTATCATAAGGTCTGTCATTGATTCAGCTGGTATGGTTTCGATTCCCCGGTTTTATGCGAATTATTGAAATAAAATTGAACCAGAACCTAGTTTGTGTCGAGTGGACGTTAAACCTCATTTCTCTCTCTTTCAGTGTCAAAAATTGTATGACTATATTGATCAAGCTAACATTGTGGTGGTACATGTATGATGGATTGTATGTTCCACTGTCGACACAGAATATCATTAGTTAAACAGTGATGCAGGACGGAGGGCTTGATAACGACAGTTGTCTAGTCCTTCGGATGATACAAAAACCGAGGTCCCGTGTATACAATGGAATGCACGTAAAAGATCCCTTGGCAGTTGGAATTCGATATAAGAGTAGGCGATAGTGCCCTGCCCGGGCAAAATTTCCCTCATAGCACACTGTGTGGCGTATGCCCGTCTTCATTAGCCCAGCATAGGAGCAGAACAGTAGGATGTTAAACCTCATTTCATTTCCTTTAAGTTAAACAAGAGCATTAAGCTCCTTTAAATAAGTCAAAAAGTTTTAAGCTCCTTTTAAGTAATTGGAAGATGTTTAGCCCCTTTAAATAAATCGAAAACAATTTAAGTTCCTTTAAGTTAAACAAATAAAGATTAACTCCTTTAAGTAAATTGAAGAGATTTTAGCTCCTTAAGGAAAATCAAATAGGTTTCAACTCCCTTAAGAAAATTGAAGAGGTTTTAGCTCTTTTAAGTTAATTGAGCAGGTTTTAGCTGCTTAAAGTAAACTAATGGGGTTATAGTTTCTTTAAATAAAGAGATTTTAGCTCTTTAAGTAAATCAAATACGTTTTAGCTCCTTTAAGTAACTTGAAAAGGTTTTAGCTCCTTTAAGTAAATCAAAGTATTTTTAGCACCTTTAATTATTCAAAGAGGTTATGTCCTTTAAATAAATCAAAAGAGTTTTTAGCTCCTTTTAAGTAAATCAAGGCTGGTTTTAGGTCCTGTAAGTAAATCAAAGAGGATTTGCTCCTTCAAGGAAATCAAAAACTTTGTAAGCAATTATTAAAAGATCTTGAAATTGTGAAGTTATAAACAGAATTTTTAACCCCAGGAATGCGTAAATCCTAAAATGTAGTTTAAGAGGGGGGTTGGATGGCCGAATGGTTAGCACATGTGCGCTGTATCTACGGTATATCATTGAGTCAACTGGCATGGTTTCGAATCCCTGGTTGTACGTGACAAGGAGTAGGGTCGCCTGTTCTCCGGGTCCTCCGGTTTCATCCCACTGCTAAAGACCCCTCCCTACGTGCAAGCGAATTATTGAAATAAAATTAAACCATATGTTAGTCCCGAAATGACTGTGTCGAGTGGACGTTAAACCCCATTTATCTCTCTCTATCTTTAAGATATATTTAACAATTTCCAAATTGCATATTTATCAACAACCATAGGTTAGTTGTACTTGACAATATGACAGCCCACAAAACCAATCAATATAATCAAATACCAATGAAATCAACAATTTTGGTCCCCAATTACATGTAAGGAGACCTACCAGTAGTCGTCTCTTAATTTAAGGAGACCAAGTAATCTTAAATCAAAGTTAGTTGTCCCTGACAAGATGTGATAATACATATAGTCTTTCTCGTTGCAACTTAGTGCTGCGGTAGTCGTGCTGCAATTAGAACTGAAATCTAGACTAGAATTTCCTGGGTTCCAAATTCAAATCCTGAAACGAACCAAGAAGAATCTCATACCCATTTCCCACCTCTACTAGGGTTAGAGCTTCCGAAAACCAAGGTCCACACTGTACATGTACTATACATGTACACAAATATGATTCATCAAGTCTTTCAATTACATGAATATTTATGCTGTAAATGATTGAAACAATGCTGTTCTTCCAAATTCTTCTTCCTAGTTAGAGTATTACACACATGACCATAGAAGAAAAAGAAACGAATGTGTATTAGTTTCTCATTGACTGCCTTCTTTAACTCAAGTATTTTTGTTGTTCTAACATTTAAGTATAGTATTGGACTGAATATTCATTAAGATTCATAAATAATTATTGTGAAAATGATCTAAGAGTTCAGTCAATATTGATTAAGATCCATAATTATTACGAAAATATGATCTAAGAATTCAGTCAATATATCCATGTTTATTATGAAAATGATCTAAGAATTCAGTCATTATTGATTAAGATCCATAATTATTACGAAAATATGATCTAAGAGTTTGGTCAATGGAGATATATACTATCTTCAGATTTTCCCTGTCTGCATGATGGGCCTTTAAAGTTTACTTCTGTATAATTGAACATCAAATCTATTAATTTCCCAATGAGGCCCATATTGTGATAATGTGAAACATAGATATTCTAGTTGGTAAATATTCTCAGAAGATAGTTAGGGCTTTAAAGATGCATTATGTAAGAGCTAAATGTCCCTATTGTACATGTATGTCTTTTTTTTCCCCATGCTTCAAATGGCATATATAATATAATTTAGACATTTATTCACATGACAAGCCAACTATCAACTGTCTAGATCATCAGATGGCTAGGATATATAGTGGATTAGACCACCCATCCCATTTAATCACTTATAGTTAGATTGAAAAAAATCAAGAATCTGTTGTTCATAACATTACTCAGAATAAAGTAATTTTAACCTGTTAAGCGTGACGTTTTTAAAACGTTAACTACCCCCTATTGTGTAATTAATTTGACGAAGTGACGAAGAACTATGTACTATGTTCTAAGAATAGGTTGGGGAAAATACCTCCAAGGCGTCATGGCAGTTGTCCAGGACGTTATATAACGACCTACTCACTTAATGGGTTAATGATATTTTCCATATATTCATTATTCATTGTTTATTTATAAACTAATATAGTGAGAACGAACAGCTCTTTATCTAAATCTTACATAATGCATCTGTAATAAGTATGACATATTGTGCTTTGACAATGCATTCTGTTTTGTGTTTTAGTTGATGTATTTTGAGCTCTATAATATTTTGTGTATTTTGGGCTAAGACCACACCAATATATAATTTTCTGTTCTTACCAGTAAAAATTTTCTGTCTTATTTCTTTAGGAGAAAAGACCTATTAAAAAACCAAAAGCATTTAGGTCAAAGTTTTGAAATTTGAAGCAAAACCAATCTGATTTAAAATTTTGTTTTACTTGTTTTGACTACGCTAGGATCTGGAAGAGTTGCTATATAACCTGTGTTCTGGTTGATGTGAGGTATAAGCTAATGAAACGGTCTGTTACAGCGATTTCTTGGCATGCCATGTTCGAAACGGTGGGTAAACCACTAGAAACGTCAACACTGATTGATTAAAGCGATAATTTCATGTTTTCTAAGAAATTCAAAACATAATTATTTCTATGTCTTTTGCTCATTAGGTTATCAACTCACTATTATACGACCATGGGCATTATTTCCCACCCTTAAAAATCAATGACACAGGAAATAATAACACAATTACCTCCCTTGTTTTCCTATTGCCTCCATGCATTAGCTACCTTCAAACGTTGGAATTTGAAGTTGAAAATGATATTTTTGCCAATTTCTCAGCTGGCAATAGTGACTTACAGGATTAATAGGATTATTCTTTAACAAGGTAGGATGGTTTATGGATACCATCTATTTTAAGGCTTTATTTTAATAAATTTTAAAAATATAACTTAAAAATATGAAATTGCAGCTTTAAGCAATGTCTGACATCATAGTCAAAAGCAGCTCGTGTGACCCCTGACGTGACCTCCCACTACAACCAGACAGACTTTCATGTAGTGTAGGCCATCAAAAGTATAAGAAAACAAAACGGCTAAAGACCCTTACGCGCAATCAAATTATTGAAATAAAATTAAACCATATGTTGGTCCCGAAATGACCTAGTTTGTGTCGAGTGGACGTTAAACCCCATTTCTATCTCTCTCTCTCTCACTTGATTCAAGTGACCATTTCTTTATCAAGACCAGTAACAATCTGATTAAAATACAGATCTATATTTCGTTGTAGTGAAAGGTCGATCAGACCTATGGCTGTTGACCTATGACATCATATATTTGATTAACCAATCAACATTAATGTTACTAGTGGATTAACCAAAGTTCTGTGCAAAAGACGCCTAAAGCTCGCCGTAACAGACCGCTTCGCTGGCTAATCTCTCACACCATTCAGAACATGTCAATGACAACAAGTCTTCCAAATCTTAGTGTAGTAAAGACAAGTAAAACAAAATTTTGAACTATAAAAAAAACGAAACGAAATAGGATCTGATTGGACCAGGAAGAACAGAAAATCGAATTGTTGTGGCCTAAAGTATTAATTTTACATTTTATCATTAAAGTGTTTTATTATTTATATATAATTGTTGTTAAATTTGTTGAGTTTCGCTCCCGATGTTAGCCGATAAAGTTCCTCAAGATTGTTCTGTACGGTTTCCCCTGGGTCATTTGTGCAGAAAAGTAGGACGTTAAAGTTTAACGGTTAAACCCCATTGCATTTGTTACATGTGGGTGAAGAATATAATATGGCCATCGATTTGATTTGAAGGTAGACTAGTAATTTTTTGTCCCACGCCTTTCGAAGAACGCAGGGGACTATTAAAATGGGTTCGTCTGTCTATCCATCCGTCTGTCCGTCACACTTTTTGGGACACAATAACTCTCTTTCTAATTGAGCTAGAATGTTCAACCTTGGTGTAGGTGTTTATTAGGTCAATGCCTTGATGGAGTTCGAAGATGAACTTTTTCGGCTTAGGGTAAGCAGAGATAAGCAATTTAATTGGTTGATGCTTTGGGACACGATAACTTTAGTTCTAATTAAGTGAGAGTGATGAAACTTGGTGTATAGTTTCATAACATCAATACCTTGACTAAGTTTGATAATGAGCATTTTCTGCTCAGGGTAAGCACATCGACAAGCAATTTGATTGGTCGAGACTTTGGAACACAATAACTCTCATTTTAATTGAGTTAGAATGTTCACACTTGGCATAGATGTCTATTAATTGAATGCCATGATGGAGTTCGAAGATGAGAATTTTCTGCTTAAGGTAAGCAGAGATAAGCAATTTGATTGGTTGATATATATGAGACACAAATAACTTTAGTTCTAATTAAGTGAGAGTGAGGACACTAGGTGTATAGCTTTATTACATCAATACCTTGACTAAGTTCCATAATAGTCAGTTTCTGATCCCTTGAACGGTGGTACTTATCTTTAAAAAAAAGCATACTAAACAGGTATTATGTGGTCTTTCTTTGGGCCTTAAATGTTATATAAATGATTAATTAGACATTTATTAACATGACAAGACCCATAATCAACTCTCCATGTCATCAGATGGCTCCGATTTTAAGTAGATTAGAATGGTTGGGCCATTTAATGATTTAATTTAAAAATGGAGACAGGAAAGGTTTGAATGACCAGTATGGAGGTTACGATCAATGCACACATATTTTGAATTATATTTTCAATATCTTCATTTTGCATTTAATCATCTATTTTTGAAATATTATCGCGAGAATGGTCAGCTCTTTATCTAAAATATTACATAATGCCCCTCTAAGTGAATTATGGAATCTCATATGAAATACCCAGTCGGAGCAGAACAGTAGGACGTTAAACCCCATTTCATTTCATCTCGTGAACTATATTTGTTGGTTTACCATCATCAACAAATCAAATTGCTTGTCTCTGCTTAGCCTAAGCTTGTCAATGATCTCAGTCTCCAGTAACGGAACGTCTATGGCAAGTTTCACCATTTTACTCCAATTAAAAGCAGGATTATTGTGTTCACAAAGAGTGAGAGACAGTCGGACAAAAAACCTATCACCAAATGAACATCGACCCAAATAAGAAGCTGGGTTATTATGTTCCAAAATGTAATTCAAACTAAATCTGATATTACCATTGGGGGAGAGTGTGATGGAAAAGGAGTTACCCCGATCTCCTACTTAAACCATTGAGGCTCTATACACCTAAGTTGTCTGCGATATCACCTCGGTGGAAGCGGACGTAAAAAACAACTATACACATAATTTTAGGATTGCAAGGTCTTTGTCTTTAATCAGCAGTTTTAGACCACATGTGTGGTTACAAAGATTAAGATAGTCGGAATGTCAAAAAAATGTTTTAGACCAAGGAATGACATGAATTTAATATTGAAGTCAAGGATTACAAGTCGGGGTCCTGACGTGATTGCAACAAACAAGTTATCCCCCTTGTCTTCAAAGTTAATCATTTTAAGTTTTTTTGTTGCAATTTCCAGCTCCAGGATGAACTTAATTTCTTTGTTCAATCTATGGAACAGAGTATACACTGAATACTTTACTCTTTTTCGGTTCATCCCCAAAAGTCGTAACGCTGTATACATATTGTTGAACATTTGACTAATGTAAATTGTTAGCGAAATTGTGAGGTCATTCAAACTGGTGATGAGAACAGACAGAGTTGTTCCCCTTTATTCACCATACTTGGAGTTGACTGTACCAGACTCTTATATATAGAATGTAATTCGAATACGCTCTTAGCTTAGCAAATATTTGCTGTGGCTCAGTTTGATACGGTACTCCAGTTAAATTATTTAAAACATATTTTGTTTTCATTGGTTGTGAACTAGGTGTAGTACACTCGCTCGTCGGAGCGAAATTCATATTTGGAGCCAGCGTAGCGGAAATGGGGTTTCGGTAGGCCTACAATGTTTTTAAACTTAAAAACACATAATTTTGCTAATTATTGGGTGTGGAGTCCGACGGCCCCGATACCCAAACTGCTTGATACCACAATAATGTGAGGCCATTTAAATGTTGTATTATTGCCTTTCACCAAGTGATTTCGATTTCTTTATATTGAATATTTTCCGCGATTTCAGGGGCGTACAGTCCCTATAAAGACCAGGGGATGCGAAACTTCAGCCATCATGGTGCCTCCATCAATCTGGGAGATTTGGAAACAACATTCGTCCGGCTAAGGCCAGTTTCCTCGCTGCAATATAAGTTATTTGTAGTGGTGATAATTGTCTTATTCATCGTACATACTGCGAGCCTTTGTGCAAGTAAAGTAACTTAAATTGCAAAATTAACTCAATATCATCCAAAGTCTTTGACATTGATAACACAAATTATTTGTCAATTTAAATCAATATTGATGTTTTGATCATACCGGGAAAAGATGGGCTTCTGATATCCAATATTTAAGACAAAATAAACATTTTACTATTGGTACACGAATCGTGTAGCGTAATGCGTTTCAGCGCCATTTGTAACAAGGGACTCGAAGAACGAGGCTACACATATTCCACAAGTCATGTCAAACGGTAACGTCACATTTTTATCTGGAGAGCATGCGCAATGAATACTATCGGTGTAGACTGGAATAACCAGGCGCTAGACATTTCCATTCGATTGGGACTTCTGGCGTATTTCGTGGAATATAACTGGTTTGAAATTAGAGTATAAACGGAAACGACTGAATGTAAATTAGTTTATATACACCCATATTGCATTTTACCAACATTTTCCAATGCAAGTTAGCAACACAACGAATTATTATGAATTGGCACAGGATTTTAATAGCCCCGGTCTCTCAAACAGAAATGGACTCATAAAGATAAGATGTTTATTGCATCAAAACATCCATTATGGACAGCATGCATACATATACACTTAGACATAGTCATATACAATTAATAATACATATTACATAGACAACTCAATACATTCATACAAACAGTATACTACATGTATATCTAAGGGGTTTCAGTTAGATGTAGTTGCCACCAAATTTGATTTAGCTCTCTTATTGCAAGCCAAAAACACACATAGAGCCACTGCCTTGGCAATCAATTTTGGTGGGTTAAAGAGATTAATAAAATTGTAGGAAATCTTTGGATTTGCTGAGAGGTGGGTATAAATGGGCTTGGCGTATTTCTTCATACTTGCTACAGTAGAGCAAAAAATGTTGCTCGTTTTTGATCGAGTTTAAATCGCAAAATTTGCATAGACACTATCAACAGGAATTTTTTTGTATCAGCTCCTCTCTATTTCTAGGTGATGCGTACTGAGTCTAAGTGTGGTCATAGATTTCTTATGGTTTCTATTTTTAACCGAATATATGAAACATAATAACAAACTCCCCTTACAAAATAAAGTATGAACATAAAATGTACATATGTAGTGATAACCCTTAGTAGTTCCCATACCCAAAGAGTTTTTAGTTATTTTATTAGCGGGGTGTACTGTATGGCAAGCTCGAGCTAGAGGAAGCAACTGCACTGCAGGTAACCATGGTTTATAGTCTTTGAGGTTAGTGCTAAATGATAAGGCCAATAGTAGTGGGAGGAAACCGGAGGACCCGGAGAAAATCCACGAGGTTCATGGACAGGCGACCCTACTCCTTGTCACGTACAACTGGGGATTCGAAACCACGCCAGTTGACTCAATGATAGGCTTTATGATACAGCGCGCACGTGCTAACCATTCGGCTATCCAACCCCCCTTAAAAAAAGAGATACAATATGCAGATAAGTCTTTACAGAATGAAAGGTTAATCCCACTCGGCAAACCTCGGCAGATTCCATTACTCTACATCTAGCCTCGGCTCTATGACGGTAAGTGATATGTACCTACGCAGCTACGCCTATGCAATTGCGATGCGGCACCGGTTTACTTATTAGGAAAACTTACCGCTTTTAAAAAAGAAGTTATCAAAATTGCGTCTTCGAATCGTGTGTAGAATTTTCAGTGCAAAGTTGCCCTTGATTGGAGAAAATCGGATAAACTTGAAAAAAAATAGCTTCAGACTTTGAAATATTTGTATGATAAAACATTCTTCAAAGGCGTCATCATGGGCAACGCCATTGGTAATCCGGGAACTTGAAAGTAGTTCCAATGGCGGAGTTCATCATACAACCGAGGCTATATGTAGGGTACTGGAATCTGCTGAGGCTTGCCGAGTGAAGTTAATCCCTAAACATCTACAAGTTATGCTATGTATAGTTCAATATATTTCCCATTCACGGGTAGAGTTTTTTTTTTAAATGCAATGTTAATGTTACACAAACATCAACAAAACGCTTCAGATGTGTACGATAAGTTCGTAATATGGATTTAGCCCACCCCTGTCTTTTGATGCGGATAGCCGCTTGTAATCTTAGAATGGCCACCCCATCTGAAAGTAAAAACATTGAAGAGACATATGACAGAGAAGTTCTTGTGCGTAAAAACCATAGCTGATAACTGGACAAAATTTCATAAAGCCTGGCTCGTGAAGCCTTTAAGGCTTTACACGGCGTCTGTGGCTTTGTTGTGGCATGTAATTACATACCTAGCTTTAAAGGACAATATTGGTGTCAGTCATTATAAAATATGTGATAGAGCTCGTTAAATACATCCCAAATATAATTTTAACACAGAGATCATTGCTACGTGAGATGTGTAACAAGCACGGGAAGTGACGTTAAACATGAGTTGTCCTTCTATATAACTGACTGAAGTAACGAGCGGTAACAGACAAACGATCGAATTTCATTTCACTGATAATTCCGCTGAAGATGAAAAGTTGTTATATGAGACGATGAGAGGATATCTGACATTCAAATAAAGAATTGGCTGTCAGTAGATAAAAGATAACGAATTAGAAAAAGTCCGTGCATTACCATGTTTTTATTAAGAACAGAATGAATAAAAACGGGGGAATGCACGGGATTTTTCTACTTTTTCTCGTGTCCCTTATCAAGTGACAGCCAATTCTATTTTTGAATTGTGAGATACATTGATGACGTCACACGCAAAATCCATACAGGTACGCGATACGTACCAAGAATTTACGCTTGCCAAAAGTCTCTAGTGTCTGTTGCGACAAGAACAGTCTTATTGGGCCACATGTGCCCCCATCGCATCGCGGATAACACGACAGCTAGATATTCTGTGATGTTTATATGTTCCTTGGTAATAAATAAATAGGAAGTGAATATTACAGTTGATATAAAAGTAATCTCCTTTATGAATTCCTGCCCCGCCATGTGTCGAGGCTTCTGTCTGTAAACCGGTAACCGGCTTTAAGTCGAGTAAGTGCAGGGGGCTGTACCACACATAATTTACACAAAAACAAATATATGGACAAGAAGAGACAATAAGCAGAAAATCACAAACAAACGAACAATTCAAATACAGTGAATGGATCCGGGTGTTAGCCGTAAGCGTCCACTGCGCTGTAGGCTAGGCCCGGGCATGTATAGTGACACAGACTTCACTCATTTGAAACAATCAGAAATATAACAGTGCCATTGAATACATTCATGAAGTCTAGCAACCAATTAATGTCTATGAAGAATTAAGGCTTGAGATATTACAAATTTTGAGTTTCGCTTTTTGATGGAAGAGATGATGTCTATGGCGGCGCAAAAATGTTCGATCTCGCTTAATCATCTAATGAGTCCAGTTCAGTTTACCACACAGTGACTGTATCTGTTTCACACTTGCTCGTTTGCGGCCTAAAGAGTTTGACAACGCATTGTAGAAGTCTACTCGTTTCTGACTAAATCGTCAGGTTAAATCTTGAGTATTTTGCCAGTTAATATTAAAGCACAACTCCCTCAATGTTATCAAGAACAAAGTAAGACCACGATTACATTCTGAAAACGAGTCCGCGATGACCAAAAAATCATCGAGATACGCAATACAAGTAACATGATGGCTGCATTTCATAATAGTACAAACAGCGGAGCCCCAAGCCAGAAAAATGATGGGGCTCCACGCATGCCCGAAAGGTAGGCCTAACTTTCGATCAAAAAGATGTTGGTTTATTTCCTCCAGAGAAAGTCCACTGAAAACCTGTCATAGGAAAATCAGACCTGTGACACTTCACTCTTTAAGTCCACCTTCGCAAGATAGTCATCCGGTTTGATGAATTTTAAGGCATGTCGGAGATCCATATATTCACAACTTGTATTTGAGGTATAGGAATTGAGGGGTCGTGAATAATGCGGGTATCGCCGTTACCTTTCGGAATAGCCCCTAATAACACACAATAGTAGGCCGGATGTCGTTAATATAGTAATTCCCATTCTCAAAAGGTTTAATTGACAAGCAAATATTACAATGGAGCATGAGTTTACAGTCAAGATTGTAACATGAGTTGTAATTGAAGTTTCTCCAGATTTTACCACCCTCCGGAAGGAAAGGTCCTTTAAATCTACGCCCACTGGGTTTCCAATTATTAAAAGCTTTCCGAGTGTTGGGCACGGTAGAAAATAGTCTCTAGAAAAGCAAAAGACCTGTATCGCGAAAAACCCGAGAACGGAGGGCCTGACAAGGACAGCTGTCTAATCCTTCGGATGATACGAAAAACCGAGGTCTCGTGTATACATTGGAATGCACGTAAAAGATCCCTTGGCAGTTGGAATTCGATATAAGAGTAGGCGATAGTGCCGCTGCCCGGGCAAAATTTCCCTCATCATAGCACACTGTAGGCCTATGGCGTATGCCCGTCTTCATTAGCCCAGTATAGGAGCAGAACAGTAGGACGTTAACCCCCATTTCATTTCACTTCATTCCATTTGTCACTACGCCTAGGTCTACTGTCATTTTTTGACATGACTGTAATCAGAAGAAATTTAAGAAAAGTTCTAAGCAGGCCTTGCACATGGCGAGTTGCAAGCAATACGAGAAATCGTGGTGGCGTTGAGTTGAGAACGAGGATTGGCGGCAGCAAGAAACAATGACGTAATGTGCGGTTACAGGTCAAATTCCACTAAAACATTATTTACAAGTAAATATATAATATTTTATGCGTTGCGACCAATTTGTGTCAATTTCTAGTTCCCAATATTATCGATTTATCTCCTTTAAACAATATGAACAGTGTCCGGTTTTTCTGTTATACCTTTGTCAACGATATGAAATCCTGTTTGCGATTGAGAAAATACCGCCCAGTATGTTGCAGACATTTCCAAAATACCTACGATTAATACAACAGGACACATAATTAGGCATAAAAACAGATAAAAGCACCAACCCGGACGGCGGTTTGAGAAGGATTTCATACTACCAAAAACAAATAAAAAATATATCACTGCGCTTTGACTGGACCCCACTATGACATGAATGGTTGGATGGAGAGGGATTCTAGCACACAGGCCTAAGAGTATTATTGGTAGGCTTAGCTGGGATACGGTTAACACACCCATTGTCCATCTGTATGGAAATTTGATATTAGGGCTGAGAAATACGCGACTAATTCCTAACACCCACCGCCTTCTCTGTCGAATATAATCCATGATTGAAAAAGTACTTTTCTCCCACATCTCGCCTTCGATAAAGTTAAATCTGTATCCCTTTTCCCACGCTTTCATGCCGAAATAACAATCTTCGGTAATACTGCCTTCGGGTCCAAAATCAAAAGAGACGCTTCTTTCTGCACCGGCATTGGCGACAATGAATGATCCCTTCCAATTGCACATTGGGCGATGTAATATTCCTAGCGAAAACCGCAGCATGCCATAATCAACCCCGACGCGAACAGAATCTGCTAATGTTGCTATCCAACAAACAATTTCCTCGTTAGCGTAGGTAATGACACCTTGACCAAATTCATATTGACCGTCATTTATAAAATTAATCACACCAATTAAACTGCTTTCGGTAATTAATGTTTCTTCATCTAAATGTATTATCCAATCATTATCACTCAATATATTTACTCCTTCTTCTAAACAATACTGTAATGCACGCGCTTTATATCGAGATCCATGTTTGGTTTGATAACTGTCAGGAACAACAACTTCCCGCACGTTCAGACCCTCTTTTATTCCAATTAATTTATCGGTGACCACTTCAAATACATAATTAGAAAGTCCGAATTCCGTACATTGTTTTATATTCCTCTGTATGTTCGTTTTAACGAGTTGTGGATACGTCCCTCGAGTCACAACACGGAAACACATACATCTCTCAAGTGCAGAATTTCTAAGGGATTGTTTTAGGACTGGTTTATCCGGAAAGTTGTTGAAACATATCAACCCTGCTATATTTACACAGGTAAAAATCCAGGTATTCAACCACAGGACGTGAAATATGCACAATAATGAAATTACAAACCAGCCATGTTCTTGATTTGGGTTGAATGCCTGTCTACTGTGGATTATTTGATATGCCAATGTGGCGATGCAGGTGAACAAAACACAGATGCTGAGAAAATGTTTGATATAACGATGCATGGCAGCTTTTGTCCAAAAATCTGTAAAATTTATAAAAAAAAACAAAAAAAACAACAGTTACGAATATAAACCATAGGTACGGTTAAAATTGAATCTACGGCGTCAGTCGTCGGTGGTTGGAGGGGCAAAGCCGGGGCAAAGTCCAAGGTTAAGGGGGCAAAGGCACAAGCTTGAAATAGGGATAGTACAGTAAGGGGGGGGGGGCCTCCCCCAGACAATTTTGAAAAACAGGCTGCCGGAAATGCAGTATTTTAGGCACTGATCGTTGAGGTAAAGTGTCAAACCAACAGACTTACGAAGCCCACTCACGAGCGCCAAAGAAGGGGTTGTTAAGGAGGGTATGGGGGACATCCCCCAGAAGATTTTGAAAAATAGACTGCCGGAAATGCTGTCTGACAGTATTCAGTCAGGTATCGATCGTCGAGATAAATTGGGTACGGCAGAGGCGGTGGGTTGGATGGGATGGGGTCTGGCGGGAGATTGTGAAGGTAGTACAGTAGTATGCACACAGATCAGCAGTGAATATTCGCTAGGCCTCTACAATCACTGATAAGGATGACATCGATGCGACTTAAAAGTTACAATTTCATATTTTCTAAGAAAGTCAAAACATAATTATTTCTATGTCTTTTGCTCAATAGGTTGTCAATTCACTATTATACGATCATAGGTTATCTTTCTCACACTTAAAAATCTTCACACCGGAAATAATAGATTAACACAATCACCTCCCTTGTTTTCCTATTCCCCACATTGAAATAGCTATCTTCAAACGTTTGAATTTGAAGTTGAAAATGATATTTTTGCCAATTTCTCAACTGGCAATAGTGAATTATAGGATTAATAGGCTTATTCTTTAACAAGGTAGGACTGTTTATAGATACCATCTATTTTAGAGCTTTATTTTAATACATTTTAAAAATATAATAACAGACCGCTTTATGGATGACATTCACTAGGTTTATTAACTGCAACGTGTCAATGAGGATACTCTCACCGTTATCAAGCAATGATACAATCAACATGTTACAGAAGGTTATACACAAACAGATAACAATAAACTAATTAACAAAATAAGGCCGAAGCCATTCAAAGTCATACCTAAGTAAACTATTATTAATCAATGAGAAGTAATGTACAAATCCATGCTAAAACAACAACTGATCATAATGAAACCCTTAATTTCCATATTGCAAATACAGATTACAAAATTTTAAAAAATAAAGATTAAATTATTTAAAAACAACCTATGAATGAGAAATCATGTTATTGTTGATACCATTAATCACCCTCTCCATTAGGCAACAAGATGTAACCAATCACAATTATTATAACAAAATATATCATAGGTTGTTTTTAAATAATTTAATCTTTATTTTTTAAAATTTTGTGATCTTTATTTGCAATATGGAAATTAGGGGTTTGATTATGATCAGTTGTTGTTTTAGCATGGATTTGTACATTACTTCCCCCCTTTAAGGGTTTCTCATTGATTAATAATAGTTTACTTAGGTATGACTTTGAATGGCTTCGGCCTTATTTTGTTAATTAGTTCATTGTTATTTGTTTGTATATAACCTTCTGTAACATGTTGATTGTATCATTGCTTGATAACGGTGAGAGTATCCTCATTGAAACGTTGCAGTTAATAAACCTAGTGAATGTCATCCATAAAGCTGTCTGTTATTATATATCACTTTCACTAAATGCCTTTCAAAGATATTTTAAAAATAGAACTTAAAAATATGAAATTGTAACTTTAATGAGTCACAAATATTAACTTTTTTCCTCCAACAAATTAAATTCTAAAACAATTTTTCAATGTATTAGAAAAATAAATAAAGACGTCTAAAGTATTATTAGGTAAAATTATTTACTATTTAGTGTAAATGGATATTAAAATGAGTAAAAGGCACCATTCTACCCGATCCAGTGACGTCTTATGTAAACAATGCACGCGCCATTGAGCCAATGATTGACACCGCGTGATATAACGTCACGTGTTGAAAGCAGCCATCTTTTACAGAGATATTAGAATACTTTGGTAATACCCTGTAAAACAGATTGGGTAGTATGGTGTGGAACAATGATGATGACGAATAGAAATGAAATGGGGTTTAACGTCCTATTTTTCTGCACCATTGTGGCTAATGGGGACAAGCGTGCGTCATACAGGGTTCTATTAGGGGAATTTTGCACGGACAGCGGCACTACGACTACTCTTTTATCGAATTCCAACTTCAAGGGATCTTTTACGTGATTTTTCGTCCCATCCAAACGACCGGACACTGCCCTTGCCACCCCCCCCCCCTTCCTGCACCACCGACAAAGGGAAATCGCACCGAATACAGCTTTAAGCAACTATTAAACGGTGTGGAATGGAAGTTATTTTAATGTCTCATTACCATAATACTTCTGATATTTTTCGACGAACATGTTGCTTGTTGCATTAGTGTTTATCGCAGACAAGTTGTCTTATTTTCATTTTTATTATCTTGCAGGGGTCTTTTCACGGGGTTTGGAAGGCCACACATGCCGCACACGCTTACACCAGCCAGGGATCGAAATCTCAACCGCAAGCCAGAGGTGACCGGCCAGCTAAAGATAGAAGTGTGACACTCCAGACCATTAGTCCCCCCCCCTCCCCATTTCCCCCTCAACAAACATGATTATGACATGTTTTTTTTTTTTATTCTGACGAAGAGTCATAATTCTATGGAATACATTCACTACTAAACTTATACAATTACTAAATGCCACTGAAACAGTTCAACAAAGAGCATGTGGAAGCGCCGCTGTCCGGGCAAAAACTCTCATATAGCGCGCACTTTATTAGACCGGGCCCTAAGTTCATAACAGTAATGCGTCTAACCCCATTTCATGTGATTCAATTTTATGGGATTTTGTTTCATTAAACTTTAATTTACATGTTCAACATGTATTTATACTTTGAAATTCATGTAACTATCGATCGAAAACAATTTTATTATCACCATTTTTACTAGGACAAAAATTATTGATTACTACTCTTAACAATGTTACTACGCGACAGGTGTTTCCATTTTATTTGTTTCTGATATACACGGCAAAGTCAATATCTAACAGTGCATGTTAGTAGGATATTTTTTAGTTTCAGTAATTTGGTAAACGGTCGATGTTTGAATCTCAAGATGTAGGTAAAGTAAAGAAATCAGAAAGACTTTCCCATGGGCATACTAACCAGGGGGGGGGGGGGGATGTGTGTGTGGGGAGTGGGAGTGGGGGTGCAGCTGCCCATAAACTTTAGGGCAATGTGACTTTTCGGCCAGACGGGTAAAGTGAAAACACAAATTATTTCATCTAGTTGCGGAGTAGGGGGATTCCTACACGGTAAGCTCCGCCCATTCGCCTCTTGCAGACGACCGCCGTATTTCAGGTTCTGCCCCCTAACATTCATCGAGCTCGTACGCCATATTCATTGGTCCCAGTCAAAATATAAGTCCTCCACCAGCTCATGCATCAAAACATAGGTCTTCCATCAAGCTGAAGGCCTCCCATCAAACTGAAGGCCTTCTATCAAAACGCAGGTCCTCCGTCCCCCGAAAAATAGGCCCATAGGTCTTCCCACAAAACATTGGTCCTCCTCCATCAAAACATAGGCCTTCAAAAACATATGCCCTGCATCAAAACATCGCCCCCTCTACCCACCTATCGCGAGATGTGAACAGGGCTGGGGCACGTGATTAGGTGTTAGGGTTAGGGTTAGGTTTAGCATTCCGTTCGTTTCCGCTGACTCATATTATTTTATATTTGCTTTATTGTAATGTTGATCTATTAAACTTATAGATTGTAGATTGACTACCAACATGGCGATCCTGGCGGCAGCTGGTCCAACTCTGGGTATAATCGAAAGTACAGGGGAACCCGTCTTTGTTTTGGAGAGGGAGAGAAAGAGGGGGGGGGGTTAACGTCCACTCGACAAAACTAGGTCGTTTCAGGGCTAACACATGGTTCAATTTTATTTCAATAATTCTCATGCGCGTAGGGGTCTTTAGCAGTGGGAGGAAACCGGGGGTCCCGGAGAAAAACTACGAGGTTGGACAGGCGACCCTACTCCTTGTCACGTACAACCCGAGGATTCGAAACCACGCCAGTTGACTCAATGAAAGACCTTATGACAGCGCGCACATGACAAACCCGCGGACAAGACATTCAATATAGACAGACATTGCAATAAACAACAAACGTATATATCAAATCAATGGCGATTGTGGTTGACCAGGCTTCCTTTTACTTAAGCCGCCGTCAGGTCAGACCGGGCGGCGTCCTTAATGCGCTGATTAGACCGTACGGCGACCAGCAAATGCACAAGGTCGCCGGCATACGTGAACACAAAGCGAGAAAATGTCCCAAATATTACAAACTTGAAAAAAAAAGTCGCCTTCTCACAGCTTCCCAGGTCAGATCGCAGAACCTTGGCGTTTGTTTTGGCGACCACGGAGACCACAGCACGATATCTGGAGTTTCCATCACGCTTTTACCACGTTAATGACGATCTTGGCGCGCTCTGGGACCATTTTCCATCGCCGTAGCAGCGCAGTAAGGACGCCACCCCGGTCTGACGGGGGTATTAGCGTTTGGGTTAAGGATAAGATCTTGGGACTCACATCAACCATGAATGCTAAATCAAGTGAATGGATCCGGGGATCAACTGTAAGTGTCCATCCACTGTGGTGGCTGATTGGTATAATGTCAGGATGTTATGATGTCGCGCATCATAAGGCAACAACCCGACTTCACGACATTTATCAATCAGCCACCATAGTGTATAGTCCCGGGCCTGTTGTATTGCTAGAAGTAATATTATGTCGAAGTCGTGATACACTGATAAAAGTATTAAATTTTATCCAAAAAAAAAAAATGTAAATTGGTTCTGTATATTATATCATAGCGGTTGGTTATTTAGGAAACTGGAAGGTCAAAAAACACGAAATTAGAAAAGTCTAAGTCAAATATACTTACGATTTAAAACAGCGTGCTAATCTATTTGTATTCCAGATTGTGTTTTTAAAGAGAGTGTAACACGTGCTGAATGAAGAATAGAAATATTGAACTGTATTTCTGTGTGAATACATTCCAACAGATGCTTCATCAACGATGTGCGATGATTGCATTATATTAAAATTTCACTTTATATTTATTATATTTAAAGATGCATTCCCACGAAAGTATTTGGTGTAATTGAGAGAGAGAGGGTGGGGGGTAACGTCCACTCCACACAAACTAGGTCATTTTGGAACCTATAGCTTGATATAGATAGATAACTTAATAACATACAGCCTAACAAAAACAGCTGTCTAGTCGTTCGGATGGGACGAAAAACCGGGGTCCCGTGCACAAATTGGCGTGCACGTAAAAGATCCATTGGTAATTGGAATTCGATAAAAGAGTAGGCCGGAGCACCGACACTCGGGCAAAATTTCCCTCATGGTGTAGCATACTGTATGGTGTAAGCACGTCTTCATTAGCCCAGTCGGAGCAGAGCAGTAGGACGTTAAACCGCATTTCATTTCATAATAACATACAGAGGTATTTATATCTACAATATTACAAAGAGAGAGAAGGGGAGGGGGGGGGGTAAAGACCACTAGACAGAAGTAGGTTATATCGAGACTAGTCTATGGTTCAATTTTATTTCAATAATTCGCAGCGTAAGGGTCTTTAGTGGGGGGGGGGGGGCGTTGGACCTGGAGAAAATCCACAAGGCTGGACAGGCGACCCCACTCCTTGTCACGTACAAGCGAGAAATCGTGCAAAAAGAAACTCGGTTTGTCGTCCTATCCGAACCACTAGACACTGCCCTTGTCAGCCCCTGTGTCCTGCACCATGGACAAGAGGTAACCCACGCCGGAAAATCCCGAGGAACTTTTTCGGCCAACACGAGCAAGTGTCTTACCCACTGAGCCACAGCGGCTACCCACAAAGTTGATCGAAGTTAGGGTAATATATTGATGTTTATAAATTGATCACCAAAGCTTATTATAATTACACACAAGAGTTGAATAAGTCTTTGACAATGCACCAAAGTTATTTCGTGTGGTGCCGCCATCCTGCACTTACTCACTACACTTTATTTATTTTTATTCCTAAATTGCTCATTTTAAGGGGGGGGGGGCGCTGGATCGTTAGCCATGAGGTATCGGCGAAAGTTCCTCGAAGTTTTCCGCGACGTGTTTTCCTTTTGTCAGTGGTAGCGGAAGGAGCCAGACAGGAACAGTATCTAGTCGTCAGGATGGTACCAAAACCCGATGTCCTGTGTCGGGCTATTTCATTACAGTTTCATTTTGTGATTGATAACAGAGTTTGTATAGATGATGCTATAAAGATATATAAGATATGTTTTCCAGGGGTTTATATGAAATTAAAGGAGCTAAATCTCTAATATTTGGGACCTAGAAATTGACACAAATGGGTCGGAAGCCATATAATAATGTAATGTGAATGTATATAAACTGATTTACATTCAATCGTTTCCGTTTTTGCTCTTATTTCAAATCAGTCATGTTCGGCGAAATACGCCAGAAGTCTCAATCGAATGGCAATCTCTAGCCTCTGGTTATTCCATTCTACACCAATAGTATTTATTGCACATGCTCTCCAGATAAGAATAAGACGTCACCGATTGACACGACTTGTGGAATATAGCTTCGTTCTTCGAGCCCCATGTTACAAATCACACTGAAACGTCATGGTAAAATGTTTATTTTGTCTTAAATATTGGATATCAGAAGCCCATCATTTCCCGGTAAGATCACAACATCAATGTTGAGGTAAATTGACAAATAATTCGTGTTTTCAACGTCGACGAATTTGGAGACGTAGCAAGGGCTGCTGGTTTATTAAACAGAACATTGAAACTCTACGTCAAGTCGGAATATTGTGTCACATACCCTCCTGGAAAGTCCTGGTGCCAACCAGACCCGTAGCTAAGGGCAGGGGCGGGGGTGTGACGGTGCAAGGGGAGGTGATAAGTCTCCCCTCAGATACATTTTGAACCCCACTCCCACTCCCTAACATGGAGATGCCCACAGCCAAAGAATATTAGTATTTTGACAGCGTACTTAGAAACTTTTTGCCCGTCGATTAATGTTTTAAATAATTTTACTACCTACAGTAGTACAACTTATTTATAATCCAGAATCTGACTAAGAAATGTTTAGTGGGTGCCGAAGTGAGTATTTTGAACTTGGGTGGACACTCACCACATGGTATGTTATTCCACTATGACGTCATCAAATATTGCCACCGACAGTAAAATTATATCAATTTTATCCTACCTGCTCTAGTTTTCTGCCAACTTTATGAAATAAAGGCCAGAATGAAGCTGTTTATGTGAACTTATTTTTGAAGAACATATTTTTGGTAAAAAAATTTTTATTGATTAACAAGAAAACACATACCACATTTTTAAGTGCAAACATGAAAATATTTTTTTTAGCACATTTACAATGTTACGACAATAAAAATACTTTAATAACACTCAAAAAAGAAGCTTGGTCTTTTTATGTAAAGAATTATCTGTGCACACAAATTTATGATGTCAAGCATAGTTACCGCAAGATGTGATGTCACAATACATAGTTACCACAAGATGTGATGTCACAATAGGCTACATAGTATTACCACAAGATGGAGAATCTTCTGACTGTGAAGAAATACACCGAGTGGAATCTCTCACCTGGATTCAAAATGAAATTAGCAAACATATACCTAGCGTCAATAAAACCTATATATTTATATGTATCACGATAATAATGGTTACCTTTATAATATACTCTTAAAAAAAAGTAGGGGATATTGAAATGCAATTAGGCCTACCTATGCAGGTTGTGATATGATAAATAGTCATGGACACTTGACATGCTTTGAGAGTATGTTCACAGATGAAGAACTTATCGCCCCAACAGAACCACTGAGCTGCACATGCGACACGCAATAGCGCCATACATGTGGGAGGGGTTCATTGTCAATTTAACACTTCAAGAAAGTGTTGATGAAAACTGCCGCATGCTGGTTTATCTATCCATGTTTGCTTTCCTATCGGTTCTTGCATAAGATGTACTGTTTAGCGTATCTTTGCTTTAGTTTGTTACGATTAATTTGATCGGGAGACGTGTTCGTCGACGTCAACGTCAACCGACAACACTGCAAAAATTGGCCGTGGCACTGCAAGAGCAAGAGGAGTGGGTCAGATTGCCCCAAATCGTGATTGGATGGTTGATTAGGAGCATGCCGCGACGAATTGCTGAATGTCTGATGATTGGTGTAGCAATTACTCATTATTAAGACAAAAATCAAAAACGTCCATTTTCAATTTTGACGGTTATCTCTTTGCGGGTGAAATGGGGCCGTCAGATAAGCCGCCCATATGAACTGTTTGTGTTCATGTGTAGGCAATTGGCCTGTTATTAACATACACTGGATACCTCTAATAAAAACAGCAGTGCATTTCCGCAGTTTTGTATTGTTTCTGAATAGCCCCTACTTTTTTTGAAGAGTATAGAAACATTTTAAGACATGTTATTACCGTAAACATACTAAAATATCGCAAACTGGGCACACAGAAAAGGATACGCTCCCTTTGCATCAAACAGTATTCAAACCAGCTTTGGTGGCAAAATGTTTTTTTTATTTCACAGAATCAAGGGATGAATAAACTACTAGACTGCAAAATTTCATAAGCCGCCTATGTTGCATTGTATTCAGGGCGCCTATTTCACACAAAATCTTATTTTATATCCAAGTGGACCTTCCATCTACATGCATAATGAAAATACGCATTTAAACAACATTTAAATATTGTCTACCACCTGTAGTTCTCAATTTCGATTAAAGGGAAACGTTCTTGTTGCTGTAAAATACTCGATCAATATACCAAGTGTTAATTTATATGATAATTTAACACCATATCTTTCTGCATGAAATGTCAATAAATTGTTTTTTGAATAAAATGGAAAATACTTTATTTCTATTTTGTAACTGTAAAATAATAAACGAATTATTATTTTAAATAGCGAGAGAGAGAGAGGGGGGGAGAAATGGGGCTTAACGTCCACTCAACACAAACTAGGTCATTTCGGGACTAACATATGGTTTAATTTTATTTCAATAATTCACTTGCGCGTAGGGAGGGGTCTTTATCAGTTGGGGGAAACCGGAGGACCCGGTATTTTATATAGAGTATTTCTACTGATGATTAAAGTAATCAAGTAATGCAAAAAATTTGCAAAACGTTTTAACATCCTATCTTTCCTCTCCCTTTTTTAGGGATGGGCTGAACAGGACTATGGTAGCTTCAGGGGTCCCAAAACTAGTTAATGTTCTTGCGTAATTTGGGGTCCCCTTTTAATCATGAATTTACGTCGTTTTTGATTAATTGCTATGGTTGCCGCAAGTTAAATATGTGCAGAAGCTAGAAACACCAAGATATAGTCTATTATTTACAGTCAGTTTTTTTCTAAAGAAATTTGGCGCCTATTCGAAGAGAACACCACCAGACCCCCGCCCCCAGGGGTATCATTAGGACCGACATAACCACGGGTTCATTTTTGCCTGTTTTTTTGTCTAGTTTCCATTGCTGATGAAAAACAGTATGGTCGTGGCAATCACAAGAACTTGTGAAATTAATTTTGAACCCCGTATTGAACCCAAGGAGTCTGACCTTCTATCCAGTCTGGTTGGACATGGTGTATGCATATATATACGGATAGAAGGTCAGACTCCTGTGATTGAACTCAGTAACTCTGAAAACCTTATTTTTCAAGGGATATCCAAAAGAACAAAAATCGCCATATTGGATTCTATTTTCATTGTCGTTTTAAATGTACCCGATCTGGACTAATCATAATAAGTTTTGTGGATAGAAATTGAACTCTGCAACCTCAAAACCCTTAGCCTATAAGACATAATGTATATGTCATATCTAACGGAAGTAAAAATTTTAATGACGATTAATTAAAATTCCGACGTTTGGGATTTCATTTCTGCCATCATGGATTCTTGAATTTTATTTTTGAGATCAGAATTGAACCCGGCAACACCGAAAACCATATAAATGACATAATATCCAATAGAAAAAAAAATGACGATTAGGCCTAACTTAAAATCAGCCATTTTGGATTCCATTTTGTCTGCCATTTTGAATTGCTGCTGTATTGGATTTTCAAAATTTATCGTTAAATTCAGACACAACTCACGAAATAGCTGGCATGAAAAATACATTTTTTGAGGGTTTTTTTTTTGGTGGGGGGGGGGCTGTTTGGTCAAATTTGTTATTTCAGCACATTTCGCCTCTATCACCATTTGTGTTTGAAGAATTTAAAGAAAGAGTTATTCTCCCACCACTAAAACACACTGATTACAAAATAACGCTCTCTGAAACTTGTTGAAGACCTCCATGAATTATGTTAATTACGTCATTTCGCCATGGCCGAATTTGAGTATGGTGTTGTCTCGTATACGTATCATTGAACCAAACTTTACTGATTTCTTTTGCAATTCATTTGGGGTAAATCGTTATCCCTCCTCGCCTACGCATACAGGGCAAGCGAATATTCACCGCGGATCAGTGTGGGCTAATATATGCAAAGCCGTACTGTATTAGCAGAGCCATATCCTGCTGTTCATTTTGTAAATGTATTTTTATCAAAGACTCTGATGAAACTTGTAAAAATCCCTTTTGAATGTTATCAACGAATTTCTTATTGTTATACCATTGTAATTAATTTTAAAGTGTTATTTATATATATATATATATATATATATATATATATATATATTAGAGCTTTTTTCGTCTTGTCATTTAAAAATTGGGAATTGAGTTTTCGTGAAAAATTAATAAAAGTTTAATAATAAATATATTTTTCACTTAATAGTTCACAAAGACAGCTTCGTTCTGACCTTTATTTCATAGATCATTGACAAAAACTATACCAGGTGGGATAAAATTGATGACGTCGTAGGGAATAACCATAACCAAGTGGTGAGTGTCCACCAAAGTCCAAAATACTGACTAAGTCACCTACTAAACATTACTTAAAATTCTTCCTACTCAAACTTTCCTACAGAACCATAGTCAGATCCAAGACTAATAGGCCTAACACAACGTACAGTTATGTTTCAATTCCTACCCTCCACGCTCGTCCCAAAATTTTCAGCGGGAGCACCCCCTCCCCTCCCGCCGCGCCCCGCCCCGCACCGCACCGCTCTTCTCTGCAGTACCTATTGAACTCTGGCTACGGGCCTGATGCCACACAAACTTTTCGGTTGTTACCTTTCTTCGACTTCGGCTTGTGAAACCCCCTAAAGGCTATAATATATAAGCCTTGCTAAAGACCGAAATTGCAGATTTTTGATTTTCATATTCACATAATATGACCTTTAACAAATGAAATTTCTCCTCTCCTCTAGAACAGCATTAAATTGAATTCTAAAATATTTCATCCATTAATATTAAAGTTGTCACCCTCTTAAAATTGTTGCTTTTCAAATGAAATCCCAACACTAATAAGCTATCCTGACGTATTAATGACATGCAATATTTAGTCGGAATAGTTGTCTCCCCTATGTTTCCGCTTCAGACTATTGAGATAATATTTATTTTTAATATTTTATATCAACAATTATAATTACGAGAACTAGTTGATGTAAGTATTTTTTGGTTCCTTTGGGTTGTTACCAAGGGTATTGCCATCAAAATATGTACATTTTTAAATTTCAAAAATGAAGTTTTTCAGCAGTCTAAATTCTCGTTGAAATTGACGGGTCTGGGCGGATACCGGATGCGTGTCAAAAAAGAGGCGTACCCCCGACATTTTGATGTTGGGTATTTACATGATATGCTCATACTCTTGCTTAATCATTTACAACCTCTGCATGTTCAAAAGTGTATTTTTATGATTGTTTCAAGGTATTACACTATCTGTTTAGTTTTATCATATAGAATTATGTCTGGTTTGAACTGAACAATAGTCTATGTCTCAAATGTCTGCTTCGAATTCGCTGTACGCACTGTAGGTAGCTTATTTCGTTGGCTAATATACATGTAGCAGGGCCTATCACATGACCCATATAACCGTTTCTTCCTTATATAGCGATGGGTCAAAATGTTTTCTTTAGAATTAGGTTTTAATCGCTGTAGATGTATTTGTTCCATTTTGTGTCCATGCAGCACGGTGCTTAAAGTTAAACCATGGTGTTGATGAGAACACCTGCCACTGATCCTCCTCAGGTGGAACTGTTGTAAAGAAATACTGACAGTATTATTTTGCCAGTTCAACCTGCAAAGGAAAGGTGCACAGTGAGTGTCACAGTCTGAAAAATATATCCAGTAATAATGAAAACAGTTGACTAGTTTGAGGGGAGGGGGTCATGTCTCCCCTTTACCCCTAAATTATCTCTAACTACCAGTAGGCCTAATGTTCATAAATTGGACAAAAAAAATAAAATTAATCTTTTCTAATGCCAAAACATCCCCCAAAAACCCCAGACCCAAGGTTGCATAAATTTTTTTTTTTTAATTTTTAAAAATTATAGCATAGCAATTAGCATTAGGCCCACCAAACATATGAATGCTTAAATATTTAAAATTAACTCACTTCCTGTTGAGTGCACAGTGAGGGCATGCTAGCTGTACTCACAATCACGTTTATATCCCAGTGTGCAGGGCCCAGAAGAATTTTAATATTTTTAAGCCTGTTACCCACTTAGTTACAACTAGCGCCTGGCGCGGCTGTCAGTTGCAGTATTGCATAGTCAGTGGATTTGAATGCCCCCCCCTCCACAAAGATGTGCACGTAAAAGAATCCTTGACAGTTGGAATTCAAGGACGAGTACAAGTAGGTGGAAACACTGCTGTCAGAGCAAAACTCTCCTCCCTAGCAATAGCAACATGGCCATAGAAAAAGAACCATATGTTAGTCTCAGAGAGAGAGAGAGAGAGGGGGTTTAAGGTCCACTCGACACAAACTAGATCATTTCGGGACTAACATATGGTATAATTTTATTTCAATAATTCGCTTGCGCATAGGGGTCTTTAGCAGTGGGAGGAAACCGGAGGACTCAGAGAAAACCCACGAGGTTGGACAGGCGACCCTACTCCTTGTCACAATGACAGACTTTATGATACAGCGCACATGCTAACCATTCAGCCATCCAACCCCCCTGTTAGTCTCAGACTCACAGTAATGGAAGTATTGTGTTGACAGGATGTTACACTCAATCTGTTTCACAGAGATAATGCGAAAGCCTTCTTCTAACTCTGTGTAAGATGACTGCCGTTTAAAAGTTCAAATCTGCTTGTGACGTCACATCATTAGCTTCGATATACTATTTTATGTACCCATTTACACTAAATAGGAAATATTTTTTATTCAGATATACTACAAACACCTTTATTTATTTTTCTAATACTTCCCAAAAAAATTTCTAGAATTTAATTTGCAGAAGGAAAATAGTTAATATGAGCTAATTAACTGGCACTAATGTCTTCCCTCTCAGAGATTGTAGTGGCCTAGCGAATATTCACTTTGCATTATACTGTTCTTTTCTTTGCCTTTTGTAATTATATTGCTCACAGCATCTAGTCGTTCAGATTTACGAAAAGCCGAGGTGCCATGTGCACTTTTTCATAGTGTACTCGCCAATTACCCAGTGTTAAAAGGGCACAAGGGCAAATCTGTCACCCCTGGAAAGTCCACAACCTAATAATTTTTGTTTTTGAAGGCTTTTTAGTCTTCCATTTGCTTTAAAGTTTTCATAAATAGAATTAATGTGAAAAATTGATCTTCTTTTTTCAGATTGTGTAAGAATATTTGATCATGGAACCTCCTGATGAAGGTAATGCCCCAACGACAACAAGTCAAGGTTTTTGTAGGTCAACCCAGAATATGGTAACTTCCTATCCAGTCCAACACCACTCCCAACCATACAGGGATGACTATAGCATGAATTACCCCGTAAACTATTCCAGACAAGCCCTTCAATCATCAGCACATTATTTTCCTGAAAAATACCTGATGGAAAGAAAGACGTCACAAACAACAGCGCCACAGCTACTTAAAACAAAAATTCTCACCCAGCACGAAGTCGATCAAGAAGTTTTAACTTCAAGACAACAGATGCATAACATATCTTCTCACACTCGGTTAGATTTCCAAAATTCTCTTGTAAATTCGAGAAGTGCTGAAAGTGGTGAAGTAGATTTACCGATGCAACGTAATGAAAGATTGTATGGCATTCCAGGTACGGAGATACCACCCCTGCCCCTGTTTCCTGGACAATACAAGAGACCAGCATCAGCTGTACCTAAAGGATTTTCAACTACAGAAAATACACCTGTGAATTCCGTCAGTCAACTGAATAAAGAACCACGTAATTTTCCGACGAAAGATATAGTATTGACGCAACAAACTGAACTCAACACAAACAGGAAATTAATCGTCGATTACACAGAAAAGCCTTCAGTGATAAACACTGCAGAAACATTAAAACCACAAAAGACTGACAGTTCATTGGTTCTCTCTGAAAACCTGACTTCAAATACGCCATCAACATCATCCATTGTAAATGCCACAGAAGCTGTTAACAGATTTACCACTCCAGCTTTTCCTGATTCACAACCATCCGCAAACAAAATGGTGGATGGATCAACACAAACCTCCAATGAATTCAACATAAATGATTTAGCAGCAAAAAAGAAACCAAATTTCCAAGATGCTGGTGTGCAGGCATCCGTCCACCAGTCTAATTCAGAGTGCCAGACGACAGCAGCGGTCCCATTCCAAGTATTGCCATTGCCAGACGAGGATTCTTATGACCTCAAAGAAGACATTAAGCCTCCCATCTTGAATTCTAGCAGCACTTTGACTAGCAGGTGGGATTCAGATGCCGAGGAAATTCAGCCGTCACTCAGCACACGAAGCAGACTGAGAGTCGTTCTCAAGCGTCTGGCTGTTCCAGAAGTAACTTTCAATTCCCCATATGTGGAAGAAGACGAAGAAGATGAAGAAGAAGATAATGCAGCAATGTCTGAAGAATGGCAAGAAGAACCGTCTCCTCCACCAAGAAAACGGACAAAGGCTACGACTGGTTTAAAGAAACGTCGTGCCACACTCTCACAGAAATCTCTACGATTACGAAAACCATTTAAATGTGAATATTGTCATAAAAGATTCATCAAGCAGACGTCTCTAGACACTCACGACCAGTACCATTGTACAAAGAAAGCAAGAAGACTTGCTGCGAGATTGAAGCCAAAACCGATAGAATCAGAAGAACTGAGAGCCTTGCGATCGAGGAAACCGTATAAATGTCCATTTTGTCATAAGCGTTTTATAAAGGACTCGTCACTAGAGTGTCACAAGTTAAACAGCTGTACAAAGAAGAAAAGGGGTGGGGACTTTATATGTACCGAATGCGGTGACCATTTTACGATGTTTAGCCTCTACAAAAAACATGTAACCACTCACAATACCGAACTTTTCAAATGCAGCTGTGGACAACATTTTCAGAGTGAGTTTAACCTGACGTGTCACATCCAGTCGGCTCCGAATGATGGTTTAAAACACGGAGAAGAGTTACGACGACTTCCGTACACAGACGAACAAAAGGCTCTTCATATCAAAAAGCCCTTCAAATGTCCGTTCTGTCATAAAAGATTTATCAAAGAATCCTCGCTGGAAAACCACACGCTCAACAGTTGCACCAAAAACAGACGCGGAACTGATTTTATCTGCCCTGAATGTGGCGACCATTTTCCTCTCTTCACTACCTACAAGAAACATTTGAAACAACACAGCGGAGAGTTTTACAAATGTACGTGTGGGGAAAAATTTGTAAATTATTGCAATCTGAAGAGTCACACGGAGACACCGCATCCAGAAGATAATTTCACGCACGAAGAAGTTCATCCGTACGCTTGTAAAATTTGTCAGAAAACTTTCATCCATCAAGGTCGTTTCAAGCGACATATGATCACACATGAAAATAATTCTAAAATAGCGTGTTCGTTGTGCGGGAAGGAGTACGAGAAAAGTTACATGGAGATCCACGAGAGGACGCATTCGGGGGTGAAACCTTTCAACTGTGATTATCCCGAATGTAATACCGCATACAAATCAAAAAAACTTCTTCAGAGACATCAGCGCGTCCACGAAGATAAATATCAGTTGCCTTGTATACATTGTGATAAAGTTTTTACACAACCCAGTCGTTTGAAGGACCATCTCCGCGTTCATACTGGCGAAAAACCGTACATTTGCGAGATTTGTGGGTATGGATTCAGTCGTACAAACCATCTCAACAGACACAAACTTGTTCATGCTAAACAGGAGTTGTTGAAAGAGCAAGAATTACTGAAAGAGCAAGAGTATTCAGATAAGGCTGAATTTTCGAAGCAGTCAGAATTTTCAAATAGGTCAGAATATTCAAAACAAGCAGATTATCCAAATAAGTCAGAATTTCCAAATAGGCCAGAATATTCCAAACAGCCAGAATTTCCACATAGGCCAGAATATTCAAAACAGCCAGAATTTCCAAATAGGCCAGAATTTCCAAATAGGCCAGAATATTCATACCCACCACTGGATTCTGTTCGTCAGTTATTTGTTTTGTAATAAGAAAGTTACATGTAGTTCATCAAAACTTGAATATTCCTCATATAGAGTTAAGCTTTAAATTATGAATACTTTTTTTTAAAAAAAAATTTATATTAAAACTATGATTAGGTGGTGTGGATTCATTGTCTACGATATCACCTTTGGTGGAAGTGAACGTAAAACTCCAGGAACAAACAAACGTGTGGATTCAGTCAGACAGTGATTATTGAGTTAAGGGTTGTTACCAGTAGTTTCTTTTATTTGCGGGAATTTCAAATTTTGAAATTCATTGTTATTTTTTTTTTGGAAATTCATTATTATTTTCTTTTTGGAAATTCATTGTTATTTTCTTTTGCGAAATTCATTGTTATTATCTTTTTGGAAATTCATTGTTATTTTCTTTTATTTAATAGAATTTGTTGTGAAGTTTTGTTGTTACTTTCTTTGTGTGAGTGAATTTCCAGTGACGTTTTGTTATTATTTCCTTTTATCTAAGGGAATAAACAGTGAAAGCTAGACAAATCTGGATGATTATAGTGTTGTTGATTTTTGTCCCAACTCAACTTTGGGAGAGTAAAATGTTGTTTGAAAAGTGTAATTGAGAGATGAATTGGACATTGTTTTTAAAGCCCTTAGCAGCACCGCCTTGTTTTCAGAAGTGTAATTTGTTTCAAGACTTTTTATCAGTTAGGACACAAACCGATTGACAATTGTTTGAGAGGAGTTATCTGCTCTTGCATTGCCTGAATGTGGATGTCTCTTCTTTCTTATTATATTGAAAGGAATGACCGCTTAAAGATACATTGTGTAAGAGCTAAATCTGCCTCAAATGTTATATTAATTATTAATTAGTCCTTTTTATTTTTATACGCCCACATTGAAATGTGGTCGTATATTGTCGTCGCCCCCATCCGTCCGTCCGTCCGGCGTCCACAATTGCTTGTGGACGCTCTAGAGGCTAAAGTTCATATCCGATTTCCGATAATTACTGCCAGAGTTATGGCCCTTGATCACTTTGAAAAATCTTGTGGACGCTCTAGAGGAGAAAGTTAATATCCGATTGACTTTAAATTTATACACAGTGTTAAGGACATGAGACGAAGAAGCCTGTTGATTTTCAGCGATTTCCGATAATTACTGCCAGAGTTATGGCCCTTGATCACTTCAAAAATTCTTGTGGACGCTCTAGAGGCCAAAGTTAATATCCGATTGACTTTAAATTTATACACAGTGTTTAAGGTCATGAGACGAAGAAGCCTATTGATTTTCAGCAATTTCCGATAATTACTGCCAGAGTTATGGCCCTTGATCACTTCAAAAAATCTTTTGGACACTCTAGAGGCCAAAGTTATCATCCAATTGACTTTAAATTTATACACAGTGTTTAAGGTCATGAGACGAAGAAGCCTATTGATTTTCAGAGGTTTCTGATAATTACTGCCAGAGTTATGGCCCTTGATCACTTCAAAAAATCTTGTGGACACTCTAGAGGCGAAAGTTAATATCCGATTGACTTTAAATTTATACACAGTGTTTAAGGTCATGAGACGAAGAAGTCTATTCATGGCCCTTGATCACTTAAAAAAACCTTGTGGATGCTCTAAAGGCCAAAGTTAATATCCGATTGACTTCAGATTGATACACAGAGTTTATGATCTTGAGACAAACAAGTATATTGATTTTCAATGAATTTGGAACAGCTAAATCCATGATACAGTATTAAAAGTTTTGTATACAAAACGTTAGCATGGGGCAGAACTTTATAAAAACCAAACAAATTCTAATGGTTTTCTGAGTTGTTGCTCTTAATCAGATTTTAGTGTATTATAAATGTTTCATTACCGAAAAAAGTAAAAATATGCGACAACTCTTGTTGACTGCCAGGACGATTTAGCTGCTTTGGGCGTATGTTTCGTTGCCTGGCAACCTATCTTTTTACACGACAAGCTCTAGACCATAAGATGGTTGTGATTTTGATTGGACTGAAACACGATCGCCATTTAGTAATTTGATTTAAAAATGGATAATCAAGACTTTGTTTATTATCGTAACAACGGTACCAAAGAAATTCTTCAAACAGTTATAATTTCGATCAGAATAAAGTAATTTTACTGAAATTTTTAATATATTCCTTTTTCATTATCTATTTTTAAACTATTATTCCGAGAACTGTCAACTCTTTATCTAAATCTTACATAATGTATCTTTAACAAGCGCTAATGTTTTAAATTTTTGATCGTTAAATGCCTAGCAAGTGTTGTGATGGGATTTTCAGCACTTGTATTTTAATGCCTTGCTTTCTTTAAGCTAGAATTTATTATCTATATATGATGTATCACTGGGGTCTATTAAATGGATAATGCTCCAAGCTGTGACATGGCCTTGCTTATAAATGATGTAATAATAATTGAAAAACACAATACAATTTAAATGGGAAACAATCACTGGTTTGTACATAAATATCATAACGTTTCAACAAGTGTTCCCCTATCGTTTTCAAGCACCTTTGTTGAAACGTTGTGCTATATGTGTATATAAACCAGTGATTGTTTTCCATATAAATTGAGTTGTGTTCTTTTCTTAAGGATTCTAATAATATTTAAATTTTTGTATATCTTTTTATTCTATCATTTTTTATCTGATCCCCAGTAACTACAAAAACATGCAAAAAACAGTGGACTAATGTGTTTAACCAGCTCTATCACATATGTGATAATGACTGGCACCAATATTGTCCCTTAAAATATCTACATTGTATTGATAAATCAAATAGCAACTTTTCAGATCAGAAATGGCTATGACACTTAGACATTTTTCAGAGTATTCTGCAGCATTTAGCCTAGTTTCCATTAGGTTTTCTCAACAAATTTGGTACAATTGTTTTGGGAGAGATAGGAAGAAATAGGGGTTAACGTCCACTTGACACATACTAGGTCGTTTCGGGACTAACATATGGTTCAATTTTATTTCAATAATTCACTTGCGCGTAGGGGTCTTTAGCAGTGGGAGGAAACCGAAGAACCTGGAGAAAACCTATGAGGTTGGATAGGCGACACTACATAGAACCAGGGAATCGAAACCACGCCAGTTGACTCAATGACAGACTTTATGATGCTGCGTGCACGCGCTAACCATATTGGGGAAAATGTGTAAATTGTAAAATGTGTAAATAGTAATTGCGCAAACTACAGACGGAGTGATTCAAATGTAATAGCCTTAAATCACTACGCTGTCAGTCATTACCATAATCAGTTTGATTAAAACACAGATCTTATTTCTTTTTTTAGAGTTAAAAATTTCTTTTTACTTGTCCTCACAACAATAGGGAGAGAGAGAGAGAGAAATGGGGTTTAACGTCCACTCGACACAAACTAGGTCATTTCGGGACTAACATATGGTTTAATTTTATTTACATAATTCGCTTGCGCGTAGGGGTCTTTAGCAGTGGGAGGAAACCGGAGGACCCGGAGAAAACCCACGAGGTTGGACAGGCGACCCTACTCCTTGCCACGTACAACCGGGGATTCGAAACCACGCCAGTCGACTCAATGACAGACTTTATGATACAGCGCGCGCCACAACAATAGGATCTGGAAGAGTTGTTATACAACTCACATTCTGGTTGATGTGAAGGATAAGCCAATAAAACAGTCTGTTACAGGGAGTTCTTGGCATGTCGTGTACAGAACTGTGGATAAACCACTAGATACGTCAACGCTGATTGATTAATCAATATCTGACATCATAGGGACAAAAGCTGTTTGTATGGCCCCTGACACGACCTTCCACTACAACCGGTCCGATCTTCATGTAGTGGAGGCCATCGAAAGTTTAAAAACCAAATATAGATCTGTATTTGAATCAGATTGTACTACCCCATTACCCCACATTTGTATTATCCCTAACACTACATTGAAATCCCCAACCCCAAAAGTTGATTCTGGAACTATTGGCAAATATAATTTCTGCCGCGGATGTAGTGAGGCAAGGTCAGTCCTCTACTCTGTCCAATCTGTGATTATGAACTTTTTATCTTTTGTAATTGATGTAAAGCCAAAAACAAAGCCTACTGTGAAATGTGTATTAATTTTTGTAAATATTGTGACATGCATAATGTAATCATTCCTTTTTGTACTTCATTAAAGGGAATAATCAAGTTTTATCGTTATTTTGGGGGAATATCTTACACACAGGGGATTTACCATCCTAGGTATCCCCAGTTAGGGGGGGGGGGGGAGAGAGAGAGACATGAGTTTAACATCCACTTGAATTAGCCTGGGTCATTCCGGTACTAACATACAATACAATTTTATTTTGATAATTTGCTTGCATGTAGGGGTTATTAGGAGTGGCAGGAAACTGGAGGACCAGGAGAAAACCCAGGAGATTGGACATGCAACCATACTCCTTGTTGTGTACAAGCTGGAAACCATGCCACTTGACAGATCTTATGATCCAAATCGCATGCCACCCACCCAAAATGAAATTAATTTGGGTTCTGCTCCGATTGGACCAATGAAGACAGGAATATGCCATTCAGTGTGCTATGAGGGAAATTTTGCCCAGACAGTGGTGCTTCGGCCTACATTTATAGCAAATTCCAACTGCCAGGGATCTTTTACATGCATGCCAATGTATACAGGTCCCAATTCCGAATGGCTCATCTTGGAACTCAACATACGTATTCCTTATACGTATGGATTATCGTTAAACTTGGTATACTTATTCCTTATACCCTAAGGACAGCAACTATTGATTTTGGTGCATGCCCTGACCCCCAGGAATGTGGACGTATATTGCAGCGGTACCGATGCTCTTGTGCACTGTGGTTCCCCCGTGTCAGTGGTACCGAATGAAGGGCCTGGAAAGCAATAGTGTCTAGTTGTACAGATGGGGCAAAAAAGCATACACTTGATGAAGAGTAATAGGAAATGCTGCTGTTTCTCATCATACATGTACATGTATACAATTACAATGTACTGTATGGCACAGCCTGGCTGGTGCTGGAATTCCAGAATAATATGAACATTGTGGTAGGGGATAAAGCAAGCAAGTACCTGTCACATCCATTGTCAGGCACAAATTATCAGACAACATATATATAAGAAGCCCGGACATTTGGCACCTGTCACAAACATTGTCAGACACAAATTCAGGATTTGTCAGACCCAGACAATCCCTGTGTGATAATTTGTCTCTGACAATGTCTGTGACAGGTGTCTTTTGTCAGGGCTTGGTGGATAAAGTCAGCAAATTCAATTTCAGATAGTTTCTTAGTGTCTTGTAGTAGTATTACTGAATGAACATACATTGTACATGTAAACAAAGTACAAATGATATCTGGATAAATAAAGTTGAATTTTTTTCAACAGAAAAATGAATGAAACTTTAAGATGCATTAAGACCCAAATCTATCTATTCCAGATTTTTATTTGGGCTTTAAATGTTATATAAACTATTATTTAGATATATATATTCACATGATAAGCCTATAATCAACTCTCAAGCCATCAGATGATGGAGATTCAAATGGATTAGAGCAGCTGCAAGATTCAAAATTTAATGATAAAATGGATAATCAAGACTTTGGCACAATTGTCAAGTACCGCTGCAACGATAATGAACAATCTGCATCAGATCTTGTCAAACTTTCCAACACTCATAACTTCACCCAGAATAAAGTCATTTGAATGAACTTTTCAATACATTCATTTTTTCATTATCTATTTTTGATCTACATGTAATATACATGTAGCAAGAACAACCAGCTCCTTATTTATAGGGGGGTTGGTTAGAATGTGCATGCTGTATCATAACGTCTATCATTGAGTCAACTGGCATGGTTTCGAATCCCCGGTTGTACGTGACAAGGAGTAGAGTCGCTTGTCCAACTTCGTGGGTTTTCTCCGGGTCCTTCGGTTTCCTCCCACTGCTAAAGACCCCTAAGCGCAAGCGAATTATGGAAATAAAATTGAACCATATGTTAGTCCCGAAATGACCTAGTTTGTGTCACGTGGACGTAAACCCCATTTGTCTCTCTCTCTCCTTATTTATATCTTACATAACGATCTTTAACAATACATATAAAATTTTAGTCAAGGCTTGTTATAACTTCAACTGTGACAACATCCTCTTTCATAGCAACATCTTTCGAATCATGATCTTTCAAAGGAATACCGGTATCTTCTTTCAAAACAAAATCTTTTTTCAAAACAACATCTTTCAAAACAACTTCCTCATCCTCTTTCAAAACAATTTTCGCATCTTTCAAAACAAATTCCTCATCCTCTTTCAAAACAACGTCCTCATCCTCATTCAAAACATTCTCGTTCAAAACATAATTCTCATTCAAAACAACATTCTCGTTCAAAACAACATTCTCGTTCAAACTATTCTCATTCAAAATAATATCCTCTTTCATAACAACATCCTCTTTGAAAATAATTTGACTGCCGTCTTCATCCCATGTGTCGGAACACAGAAGCGACATTCCGTCTTCCAAGTGTATTTTTCTTATATGCGTTTTAAAAGCCGCGAGAGTGTTAAACACTTTGTCACATGGTTCACAGCTATAAGGTTTAAGTCCTGTGTGTATTCGCATATGAAGCGCCAGATTATCCTGTCTGAAGAACGCTTTTTCACAGATGGTGCATGCATAAGGTCTGATATTTTTGTGTTTATTCATATGAACCGTAAATTTTCCCTTCTGTGAAAATGTTTTATCGCAACCGACTTCTTGGCACTTGAAACGTTTAACAGGCAGATGTGTCCATCTGTGATTAATCACACAACTCTTTCTCGTCGAGGCGTAATCGCACTGATCGCATTTATAGGGTTTTACACCCTGGTGCATCATCTGGTGGCAGATTAAGTTCCTTTTTATTTTGAATCTCTGTCCACACTCTTCACAAGCATGCGGTTTTACTTCGGTGTGCACTTGCTGGTGGTCTTTTAAACGCTTCTCGCTTTTAAACGTCCAGTCGCATTTGGTACACGGGAAAGGTCTTTCGTCTGAGTGGATTATGACGTGGGAAGCTAGGATTGATTTCATGGTGAATGACTGGCCACATACCGTGCATTGATAAGGTCTAACACCAGTATGTGTTCGCATGTGATTTTTCAAAGTGCATTTATGTTTAAACTTTAGTCCACATATTTCGCAAAAAAATTCTGTTATCCTTTCTGGGGTTTCCTCCCCCATATTTTTGGATTCGGTATTTGTTGTATGTTTAGATGCCTCCACTTTTTTACCCGACTTTGTCTTCTTAACGCCTTTCATTTTCTTCTTCTTGCCCCCTTTTTTAGAACTTTTTGTGGAGGATTTGGAATCAACAGTTGAATTAGTGGAACTATTGAATTCCTCTAATATTGTAGCGACCGCTTCAGCTTCTTCACCATTCTGGTTTGTGTCCATGCCATTTCTACCGTGCGTCGTATCTCTACCATTCTCATTGTTTACATCTTCTGAACTCACCAGTTTTTCCTCACCATTTTCATCATCGTGTGAAGTTTCCTTTTCAGGTTCCCATTCGTCATCAAGATCATCCTCAAACTCATCTGATATTTCCGGGTCCTCATCAACAATTGTGTCTGCATATTTGGACGGTCTTTTTATTTTTCTCGACGGTCGTTTTGGCTGATTAGATGTTCCATCGTCATTTTCTTCTACAGGAATGATTGGGTCGCTTAACAAATCTATTGCTAACTGAGCATCAAGTTCCATGTCAGGATCATCATCATAATTATAAATTCCAGTTCGTCTTTGGACAGGTACAACTGACTTTTTTTTTCCTCTGGAATAGAAAACTTTTTTAGGATTGTGAACTTTCTTCGAAATGACAATTTCGTCGTCAGCTAAATTCTTTTTCACTATTATAGTATCTTCGGTAACACCCTCGTCATTTTCAGGGGCTGTCCTCCTAAAGTAACATGTCACGTATTTTTTTACGGCCTTCATGGCAGCCAAGTCTGCTTCATGACTCTTGTCAAACCGGGACATTCTTTTCGACCTTCTTTGATTTGCAGATTTTGTTTCTGACATTCTTGCCAATTCTGTTTACCCAAATGATTTTGTTAAACAATGGCGGAAGTAACATTAGAGATAAATTATATTTTCTAATCGGTATTTTGATGCCAATCGCACATAAAACAAAGCAAAAAAGTTAATATTTTGAATTCTTCAGTGTGCGTGTCCCCCACTAATCCGGAAACTGAACATATTGCAAGGGGGGTAACTCTGAAGATAGTAGCAGATTATTACTTTTTGCATGTCATATTTTACTTGTACCGTTTATAAATTTCCCAATGCTGGCAATACTGTAACAATTATGATATAATAAGAAAAGAAAAAAAAAAAATGAAAATTATTTAAAACGAATAGGTTAAAAGAAAAACTAATTTAATTTCTCACAAAAATTATTTGTTCACTTATATGTAGCCTACGCACAACATGGAACTGAAACAAGCATTTTATAAAGTTAGAACACTTGGTAAACTAGAGTAAGAGAGTAATATCGGGAATCGCGCTAGTCGAGCACTGCAGTCAAATAATTTACGGATTTGTCATGCTCAGTCATCAAATGTCAGAAATGGCGGCTGCAGACAACAATTTGTGTCCCATAGTCATTCGGATGGCACGAAAAAAACCACGATCTATGAGGCATATTTTGTGACTGGCTGTCAATACATGTAAATAAATACTTAGGACATTTATTTATTATTATGTTACAAGGACCATGCTTACAAGTGGACATTGGCATTTGACTCTGTTATAGTTTCAGTCTCTGAATGGCCATCCTGCAATATGAAATTACTCAATACACCGATTTACCCCCACCTAAGGCTATTTTGACGTCCTATTCTTCATCGTAAATATTCTTTGTTCGCCAGACGGAATCATTTCCCTCAAAATCTGACACAAATTTATAATAATCCAACAATATTTTCAAGTCGAATTTAGCGATCCAAAAACATGAAAATAATATGTACGAATTGGTCTGTGATTAGAAGACAGCACTTGTGCATCTTGCCGTCTTTTGTTAATGTTTTTAAATAGTGAAATTCCGCTTGAAAAAAGAATTTGGATGGGGTAGGGGGGCGGCTATGAAATGAAAAAGAATTATAAACTTCAAATGGTAGAATAAAGTATTTTAATATCAACTAATGTTACAATTATCTACTATATGTACATGTATATTAGTTCAATTAAAAGTACCAATTTCTAATTTTATATAGGAAAATAACGTGATTTAATACAAAGTGTAAACATATCCATTATGAAGGGAGTAAACAGTTCTTTGAAGCAACTGAAACCATGACGTCTCGTCGCAATGTCTAACACCCACAGAGTAAACTCATAGATTTAAATAAAGACTGTAAAAGTTCCTTTATACATGTATTTATATGGGACCCTATTTATACTACATGTATGTAATATAGTATGGGTTATATACATGTAATTTATAACTTCCTCATTCAAGATTATGAACTGTACAGAGGAAGGAAATCCACTCTTCACAAGTAGGCAGCTCTAGAACTAAGAACAGTAATTCCTTCTACATTTCTTTTGACAGCAGTTCATATTACTGACATTGTACACTGTACCTGTAGTCCACAATTCAGATATAACCTACACAATTTACTCCTCGACTCGTCATGAACAATCACTGGACTAAACCTTCATCCATTTTAATAATAAAGAAAAATATGGAAATAGAACATTGACTCCCTTCATTAATAATCTTGACAAAAAAGTTAATATTGATCAAATTGTTTTATTTTTTTTCACACCACGACTCCTGCGATTTAGGAAAAGTTTGTCATGACTTGGACAGAAACCATATTAGGTTTCATCGGAACTTCGTCCCAGGTATTAGTTTCACGAGTCAATGATATCCGCCCGTCAATATGCACGGTCTTTACGTGGGCTTTAAAATGTGGGAGGGAACTGAAGATTTTTCGACAAGGTTCGCAGCTATAGGATTTTACAGCTGTATGCTGACGCATATGGATCTTCAGATTATCTTGTCGAAAAAACTCTTTGTCACAGGTGGTGCATGCATAAGGTTTAATATTTCGGTGCTGATTCATATGAACAATAAATTTACCCTTCTGTGAAAATGTTTTATCGCAACCAGCCTCTTTGCAACTGAAACGTTTAACAGGCAGATGTGTCCATTTATGATTAATCACACAACTCTTTCTCGTCGAGGCGTAATCGCACTGATCGCATTTATAGGGTTTTACACCCTGGTGCATCATCTGGTGGCAGATTAAGTTCCTTTTTATTTTGAATCTCTGTCCACACTGTTCACAAGCGTGTGGTTTCACTGGGGTATGCACGCGCATGTGGTCTCTCAACCGCTTTTCACTTTTAAATGTCCAATTGCATTGGGTACACGGGAAAGGTCGTTCTGCGGAGTGGATTATGACATGAGAAGCTAGGATTGATTTCATGGTGAACGACTGGCCACATTGTGAGCACTGAAATGGCCTTTCTCCTGTATGCGTTCGAATATGATTACCCAACAGATAGTTATTCTTAAAGTGCTTGTGACATACTCTACATACGCATTCTTCTTTCTTTTCTTTTGCCTTTTCTTTCGGAGTTAATGTGACATTTAGTTTAGAACTTTTCTCATTTTTATCGGTCTTCAAAATCTGTTTTGTTTCCTTCTTTTTGCGACCTTTTCTGGCAGGCATAGGATCAGCAGCTGAATCTTCACTCTTCTGACTGGTTTCTGTATTTTCCTCAGCCCCATTTTCTTTGGTGACATCTTCTGTATCAGAACTTGCATGTTCTTCATTAACTATTTCCTTACGATATGAAGATTTTGGATCACTATCTTCTACTACATCTTTTGGATCACTATCTTCTGCATATTTTGATGGTCTTTTGATGTTTCTTGCTGGACGTTTAGGCCTACTTCTTCCAGTTGTTTCTTCTTCGTCATCATCTGCTTCTTGAAGATCCACGTTGTAGTCAGCAACTGATCGTTTTAAAGAGGCATCTTTCTTTGGAGTTGGACCTCTTTTTTTCCTTCTCAAAACTTTCTTGGTAGGATTGTTAGCTTTCTTTGTGATCTTCTTTTCTGTGTCAGGTAAATTCTTTTTAAGTACTATTTTAGCAGCTTTGCTAGTGTTTTGATCGTTGTCACGAGCTGTATTTTTCTCATTATTTATGTCTTTCTTCGCAGCCAAGCCAAGGCCCGCCAAGAAATGACTCCGCTCAGTGTCTAACCGCGATTTCTGATTTGTCGATCTTGTTGACGTTGCCATTCTTGCGAACGATGGATTTTCTTACAGTCTACCTGCGGAGAGTTTTGTAACAACCCGCAATGGAAGAAATATATAAGGTATTAAATAATTTGCTACACCAATGTTTTCTGAAGCCAACAAACTAATTTTCTTTTTGTCAGTTTGTCGTATTGAGCGTTTCAATTCCTCAAATAAGCGGAAACACAAATCTTTCAAAAGGGAGGTAACTGGAAGAGGATTGGTTGCATGTCAGCGTTTATCCTAACAATAACCTCGTCAGAAATACACTTATCATCGCGTGTGATTCTGTTCTTTTGCATTATTAATAAAAGTTACGATAGTTTATGATTAGATCTAATATCGTTACACAATATGGCAATCCATTCGACCACATTTCAGGACTATAATATGGATTGGTACAACTTTATTTTGAGAGGGGTTCACTAGTCCGCCGCTATAAGAAATATTATAAATATTGGTATTAATAAACCTAACCCTAACCCAACCCTAAGCCTAATTAGTAATAAAAGATATCGGTGGACTAATGAACCCTAATCCTAATAATAGATATCGGTGGACTAATAAACCCGCGGACTAGTGAACCCACGTACTAGTGAGCATCCCCCCTTCAGTTCAATAATTGGCAAAAGCGCTTCGAAATTTATAACACATTGTTTTGTAACATTTTTATATGTTCGCCAGTTTCTTTGTTTACTGTAATTTGGTAAGCGTATTTTGAACAAGTACATACCAGTTTTGTTTCATTTCGAAAGAGAAAATTATTCGACATATTAGGTTGTTTTTTTGTTTTTTGTTGTTGTTTTCTTTTCCTTTTTTTTTTGGGGGGGGGGTGTTTTTTAAATTTTAGATTGCATAATTATAGTACGTTCTGGCGATGGGGTTCATCTTGGACGACGATAGGCTAATGCATATGAAATATTGGGATCTGGTTATTTATTTAGGGTGCCTGCCACCAGGGGCGGATCCAGGAATTTTTGCAGGGGGGGGGGGTGTCATGTTCCTGAGACACCCCTCCCCCCTCTGGATCCGCCCCTGGCCACTCCATGGATAATATTAAATTTGCTGAGGTATATAGGTCTACTGCTCCTATGGTCATTGCCCGAGATAATTGTAAATTTAATGATTTATTCAAAACGGTATGAAAGGGACGAGGGTGCAGAGAGGGGAATTGATATATTCAGAAAATTTCTATATTTAATTATCTGTACTGATAAAAAGGACATTTTTTGAATTTGGCGATCTGTATAATAAATAATATACGAAGCTAACAATTCAGAAAATTTCTGAATTTGTCGATCGGTATAATATATAGGCCTATGCACACATCTCACAATTCAGAAAATTTTCTTTTTATCAGTACAGATAATTAAATATAGAAATTTTCTGAATTTATAATTGCCCCACGGAGAGCAATACAAGTTTGCAACTTTCATTTTAATTTAATTATAGGTACCTAACCACTTAGGATAGTTGTTGATTGTTCTGAAGCACTGCTCATCTTGTTCGTAGGCGCAAAGCTCTTCGAAAAAAGCCCAAGCCCCGACAATTAAAGCATGATCCTCATGCATGGAAGTTACCGTGCTTGTTTCTTGGGAAATTGGCGTCTCAATTTGGCTGCGATGAAGTCATGCTGGGTTTCTCGCCCATTTAGTATGCTTGTCCATGTTGGGCCATGAACAGGTACGATTATTATGTCAACCAATGCCCGGCAAATTTATAAGCTTGTCACCCAATGACGGACCATCGAATACATGTAGTACGATCGTCACTCAATAAAACAGAAGATATATAGTTCTAAACGGTGAAATGAAACGGGGGGGGGGGGGGGGGGGTAACGTCCTAATTTTCTGCCGATTAGTGAAAGGGTTTCTTGACCCCAAAATATATAACTGTTTTTAACGATCATTTCTGAATTCTTTTTAAAAAATTCTGGCAATGTAAACAGACTATTTCTTCACATTTTGATATTTCTTTTCAATAGATGGTGAAAAAAACCTGTCTACTTGATCCTTTAAAGATAAGCCATTCAATTATTTTTCTTTAGAACATTAATATTGCACACCTTCTATATTTCAAAAAACAATGTTTTATTGGCAACATATAACAATTAAATTTACCTTGGACCATGATTTATCTGAATTTGAAGTTGTATTAAAACTATAATGTAACTGAATTTCATAAAATAAGTAAATAAACAAATCTACAATATATGGTGTCTAACACCAGCCATTTATCATATCGCTGCCTTCTACCCGTAGATATGTGCAAGTGAAAATGTACAGTATCCTTGAATTGGCTTAATTTCACCAGCTGAAAAAGAACTGGAAATCACTCTCCTAAAAGAGCTATCCATTTCCACTGATCTTTTTTACAATGTTATATCTGAAGGAGCTTTGCTATACTTGAAGCTGTGCTACATTTGACAGAGCTTTACTCTATTTTAATGATCTCTGTTACTCTTAAAGTAGCTTTGCTATATACATGTATGTGCAGGGGATTTGCTACATTTGAAGCAGCTTTGTTATACACATCACTTAAAGGAAATGAAATGGGGTTCAATGTCCTTCTCTGCTCCCACTGGGTTAATTAAGAGAGAGAGAGAGGAATGGGGTTTAACGTCCACTCGACACAAACTAGGTCATTTCGGGACATGGTTTAATTTTTTTATTTCAATAATTCGCATGCACGTAGGGGTCTTTAGCAGTGGGAGGAAACCTGAGGACCCGGAGAAAACCCCCGAGGTTGGACAGGCGACCCTACTCCTTGTCACGTACAACCGGGGGATCGAAACCCTGCCAGTTCGCACGTGCTAACCATTCAGACATCCCCCCCCCCCCCCCCCCCCCGGGTTAATTAAGATGGGCATACGCCATACAGTGTGTTAGGAGGGAAATTTTTTGCCTGGACAGCAGCTCTACAGCCTACTCTTATATCGAATTCAAACTGCCAAGGGATCTTTTACGTGCACATGGGACTTCGGTTTTCCATCCAATCCAAACAACTAGATATACTTGAGGGCTATACTCGATGAAGCTTTGTTATATTTGAGGGAGCTTTGTTATACTTGAAGGAGCTTTGTTATGTTTGTTATATTTGAAAGAGCTTTGCTACATTTGAAGTAGATTTATTATATTTGCAGAAGCTTTGCTATACCGGTACTTAAAGGATCTTTGCTATACTTGAAGGGGCTTTGCTATATTTGACAGAGCTTTGCTATATTTTAAGGAGCTTTGCTCTATTTTAAGGAGCCTTGCTATTCTTGAAGCGGCTTTGCTATAGTATATGCAGGAGATTTGCTACATTTGAAGCAGCTTTGCTTGAAGGATCTTTGCTATACTTAAGCATGAAGAAACTTAAAGCTTGAAGCAGCTTTGCTTTACTTGATGCATTTTTTCTAAATTTGATTTCAGGCGACCCCAGGAAAGCGAGAACTATTAGTATAAGCAACATTCTTTCGTTTCAACCACTGTATTGTTTAGGCTAAAGGCAAAAATAAGAATTCACTATTATAACATCTACTACAAAACACAGAGGGTCATTCCATGTAAAGTGCCTCCTTTCACCCAAATGTATCAGCTGTCCTGGTTGGTCGAGATATTTTTATTCTGTCTCAGCATGCATTGTAGGCCGAAATTCCTCCTTTCACCCAATTGTCACCATTTTTGGAATTGAGAGAATTCAATTCCAGGACACTCAATCAAGTCTCCCCTATATAAAATTTGTCATAACCTGAACAGAAACCATATTGGCTTTCATGGGAACTTCATCCCAAGTATTAGTTGTAACCGTGGAAACCCCACCTTCAATGTGAATATTTTTTATATGGGTTCTAAAACCTTGAACAGAACTAAACACTTTCTGACACGGAACACAACTATAGGGTTTAATCCCCGTGTGTGAACGCATGTGAACTTTTAGATTATCTTGTCTGCCGAAAGCTTTATCGCAGACAGTACATGGGTATGGTTTAATATTATTGTGATTGTTTGTATGGATAATGAATTTAGCTTTCGATGCAAACGTCTTATCGCAACCAGTTTCCTGACAACTGAAACGTTTAATGTCTTTATGAGTCCATTGATGATTAATTACGCAACTTTTTCGTACAGCGGAATAATCGCACTGATCACATTTATATGGTTTTACCCCCTTGTGTATCAGCTGATGACAAACCAAATTTCTCTTGATTTTAAATTTTTGTCCACATTCGTCACAAGAAAAAGGTTGCTCTTGGCTGTGTACCCGCTGGTGATCTCTCAAACGCTTTTCACTTTTAAACGCCCACTCGCATTTAGTACACGCGAAAGGTCTATCTGAAGAATGGATTATTAAATGAGCTGTCAAGTTTGATTTCAAAGCGAAGGATCGGCCACATACTGTGCATTTATATGGTCTTTCGCCCGTATGTATTCTCATATGATTAACCAATTGACATCTATTCTTAAAATGTTGCTTGCATTCAGCACACACAATGTCTTCTTTCTTCAATTTTTCTGGCTTACACTTGCCTTCTAGAACATCAATATATTTGTCCATGTTTTCCCGTTTTACATTAATCTTTTTATTACCGGTATTCTTTTTGATTCTCTTTTTATTATCAGTAACGGTAGGCCTATTTCTTTTGTTACCCACATTTGATTCTTCAGATAATTCACAATTCTTCATGGAATTGGTATCTTCATTACCATCATGCTCACCAACTTCTGTGTCTTTAGAACTTTCTTTTCCAGGTTTCCATTCATCATCGAGGTCATCTATACATTCATCTGAATTTTCTTGTTCATCTTCTAGTTCTACTACAGTGTCAGTGTCTACATACATAGATGTTTTTTTGATCTTTCTCGACCGTCGGTTGCTCTTGTCAGTTCTGCTATTATTTGCTTTTTCCTCTTCTACCCGTAAGTCTTCTTTAGGATCCACACCTGGGTCGTCAATATCATCTGGCTGTTTAGCATTAACAGATTTTTTTGGAACTGCTTTCTTTCGACCTCTCTTTCTACCCGTGGATTCTATTTCCGAAATAGGTCTATGTTCTTTCTGTGAGATTGTTATTTCGTCTGCTGCAAAATTCTTTTCAAGCAATACATTATCTTCGCTAACATATTTATCAGTTTTGTCTGTGTTTGTTTTCTTGTAGGAACAGGTCACGTTTTTTCGTGAAGATTTTATGTTTCTGGTCGAGTCCATACTTTTCGTCTTTTGCTTTGCAGATCTGGTTGTTGCCATTTTAGTAAAATACTCTTTTCTAGTCGGAGAAATGAAACAGTGGCCGAAACTGTAAACGTGGCGTTTTATATTCTTCTAATTCAATGGCTAGATCTCCAAAACAGTTGAAAAATTAAACATTGTCGGCGTTTCATGCAGGGTGGGAATAATCCGGAAATTCACAGGTTTGTGAAGGGAGATAACTCCAGCATCGATTGATCCATCTCACTTGATGCACGCTACGCTATTCTGATTTATTATATAATATCGATAACTTATTATTTTGAAAGGTGAAAAAACAAAATCAATACATTGCAATTTTTTCCCCAATAGTTACAGGTTATTTTATATTTATACGTATAGTCATGAACTGAGCATTCCTTTACTGTCACAATCAAGATTTTTTTCCAAAGAAAATTTAGGTCTTAGCAAGATCTACATGTAGTTCCTATAGGAACTATCTTTGAGCGAACTATGTCCGACATGGTCCTATCAGAGACAGTTCCTAAAGGAACTAAGCAAGATCATATTTTTGTTTATTGTAAACAAGAATTCAAATTAATAAATATCTGGGAAGCTATGCAATATATAAACAGCTAAAACTGCTCTCCTTGAAAAAGGTTTCATACATGTATGTAGTTTCATTTTAGAGCCATATTTCAACTTCAACAGGTAAATATAGCCAGACAAATCCAAAACAGAAAACTTCACAAAATAAAAGATGCATTCCAAATCATTGAAAAATCAATATGGCTTTTTTTCTGCTTAGCTAAATTAGGACATCTACACCAAGTTTGAGTATTCTACCTCAATAAGAAGCGTATAGTTATTTGTGTATCAAAAGGCCTGACAAACAGACAAAAATCCACTTAGCCAAAAATTCACATCATAGAAGCTATTACCGGTACCTAAATTAACATCTAAATCAAGTTTAAACATTCTAGTTGAAAAATAAGCAAAGTTATTGTGTTTCAAAAAGGTGTAATAAGAAGCAGATATGAAGGAATCCATATGGAATATTGTACGTAGCTCCCTATTATGCCAAACAGAAATGTGAACGAAAAACCAAGAGATGACGCATGGGATCAAAGCCAGTGGTGGCACCAAAGGGGGGAGGGGCATTTGCCCTCCCATAAATCTGGCCTGCCTCTCCAACAATTTTAAAAAATAAAAAAAAATATATGTTTCGGTAATCAATACCTTCTAAGGTGATTAAATCCCACATTCCCACTCAGTCCTGTTGTAGTGTCCCGGTGATTTCTTACCGAACCCATCCTGCTGTAAACCTACTATAAACAATAACATGTGAACCACTTGGGCACAGGTTCAACACTGCAAGATTATTCAATCACCTCCCTCTTCGTTTGGATAAACTAATGATTTGGTGAAAGGTAGTACCTTTCAGCTCTATTTATCTCGATGACCAGTGTATCAAATACTGCCAAACTCATGCATTTCCAGCATTCTATTTCTCCGTTCGTTTGACACTTTCCTTTTAGCTCTATCTACATGTATCTCGACGATCAGTGCCTGAAATACTGTCAGACTGCATTTCCGGCAGTGTATTTTTCATATTTTCGAGGGTAACAAGTCCATTCATTTGACACTTTCCTCTCTGGTCGGATAAACTAGTGATCAGGCAGCAGGCGGTATCTGGTCAGCTCTATTTATCTCCACGGTCAGTGCCTAACATACTGCCAGATTGCATTTCCGGTCAGAGAACTATTTTAAATTATTAATTTCGTCATGGAGAATCTTATCTGCTTTAAAATAGCCAAGTCTTTAACTCAGTATCATCCACAGTCTTCGACATTGCAAACACAACTTATTGCTCAATTTAAATCAACATTTGATGTTGTTATCTTACCGTTAAAAGATGGGCTTCTGATATCCAAATTAAGACAAAATGAAAATTTTAAACTTGGCACACAAATGCTTTTGAGCGCCATTTGCAATGAAGTGACTCGATGAACATGGCTTAACATATCCCACAAGGGAAAACTACCTGAGTAGACTGGAATAACCAAAGACTGCCATTCAATTTGCACTCTTTGCATATTTCGCCAAACATAACTGATTAAAAATTACAGTAAAAACAGAAATGATTGAATGTAAATCAGTTTATATGCATTCATATTACATTATTATATGCGTTGCAACCCATTTCTAGGTGCCTAAGAATAGCGATTTAGCTCCTTTTTAATATCATAACTCTATTCGCATCATTGAAATTTGTTTGACACCAAATATTTCAACAACTACATGCATTAATTGAAATATTTTTTAAAATTTCATCAGGAACAAGAATGCCCAGTGCCATGCATGTACCTTAATTACAATAATCGGACTTGGATACATTAAGAAATCCCTCACTGTCCCAGGAAAAGTGACTTTTCAATGTCACTTGTTCACAAATATTTTCACACTGCCCTGTGGATTTAACCCCCACCCCCTAATAGGAACATACACAACCAACAGATTAGTGGGAGAATTAGTTAGAAGGGGTTATGCCCTCTCCATGCCACCCCTTCAGGATTAATTTTATATGTTAAAACTTTATACTCCCCATCGCTTTCAGCATCCTGCATTCTCCACTGCAACAACTGCACGTATTGTATGTACATGTATGAACATATTAAACACAATCTTAAATTAAAACACAGATCCTATTTCGTTTCTTGGATCAGGAAGAGTTGTTATATAACAGGCGTTCTAGGTGATGTGAGGAATTAGCCAATGAAACGTTCTGTTATGGCGAGTTCTTGGCGTGCTATGCACGAAACTGTGGGTAAACCCCAAGAAATGTCAATGCTGATTGATTAATCAATGTCTGATGTCATAGGGTCAAAAGTCGCTCATATGATCCCTGACTCCACCTCCCAGTACAACTGGTCAGATCTTCATATAGTGTAGCTCATCGAAAGTATAACAAAACGAAATGAAATATAGATCTGTATTTTAATTAAATTATTAATAAACATAGATTGTATCATAAAAAATAAAAAGCAGATTATTAAGCCATTTCCACAACAGTATTATCTAAGTCTGTAGTCTGTTATCTAAGTCTGTTATCTAAGTCTGTAGTCTGTTATCTAAGTCTGTAGTCTGTTATCTAAGTCTGTAGTCTGTTATGTAAGTCTGTAGTCTGTTATCTAAGTCTGTAGTCTGTTTTGTAAGTCTGTAGTCTGTTATCTAAGTCTGTAGTCTGTTATCTAAGTCTGTTATTGTTTACAAGTCTTTGTGTTTAATTTGTTTATTCAGGTTACTTGTTTTATTGTCAATCTGATTATCTTCTCCTGGGGAACCTGGTTGACAAACATCGCCTCTTTTATCTCCACATTTTGGAAAGGCTGATTGACCAAGCTTATTTTTATTATAGGAATTTACGTCGTTTAACTTGTCTAATACACCATGATGTAATTTTTGATGATTTTGCAAACCTACTTTTTGAGCGTAGGTTTTGGGACATAAATCGCATTTATATGGTTTATCGGATAAATGAGTTCGCTTATGGGACTGAAGGCTTCCATTTTGACTGAAACCTTTTCCACACTCCTTACAGAGAAATGGTTTTTCCCCACTGTGCGTTCTCATGTGACATTGTAGACTGCCATTTTGTGAAAATCGCTTATAACACACGCTACACTGATAGGGTCGCTCTCCGCTATGGACTCGTGAATGCTGATGCAGCGAGTTCAGTTGAGTGAATGATTTATCACATGTTTCACATTTATATGGTTTGAGTCCTGTGTGAATACGCATATGTTGTTGAAGACCTCCGATCTGACTGAATGATTTGCTACAGAACTCACATGTGTGGGGTTTGTAACCGACGTGAATTCGCATATGAAGGCTTATACTGCCTTTATTTTTAAACACTTGATCACATAAATTACAAAATGCGCCTGAGTCTTTGTTGGAATTTTTGTCAGAAGTTTTCCGATGTTCTCTGTTTTTCTGATTTGAACTTTCATCAATCAATTCAGTGCTTGACCCAGATTCTTCATAGTTATCCATGTCCTCTTTTTTCAAGGAAAATTTTCCATCTTCTGTGCATATGTCTGGTAATTTTGGAATGCTGATTTCCTCCATCTGTGTTCACTTGATAGTTTGTGTCCTTTTTTCACTGCCTGGAAAAATAATGAATAAATTGTCTATGGAAAAATATAAATATGATATTATGTGACCTTTTTGACTGCCTGGAAAAATAATTAATAAAAGGCAAGGATAAAAAATAAATAAATAAATCAATTTACATCTCACTGGCCTTTTAAAGGGACAATAACACTCTTGCTGGCTTGACAGCTCCAGAAAATAAAAAAAATAGCCTTATTCTAAGTACTAGATGTGTTAGTGTCTTACCTGTTGTGTAAATTATCCATTAAATCCTATTTTACTTGTCCAGAGGGTTCAAAAATATTTTTAAATCCAAGTCACATTTGAAAAGCTTTACGTCAGGCTTTTCAAATTGTTTAGTTGAATTTTTCCAATTTGTTAAATTAGGTGTGTTAAAGGCTCAATACCACTCTTGTTGTAACTGAATAATATGTCCCAATTTTTATTCTGGTCAACAAAATGTACTATTTTAGAATATTTCAATTAATTGATGATAAAAATTTCATCTTAACGTACACCTTATTTAAAAATTTTGAAAAATTCAACATAATGGTTTGAAGCGTCTAACGTAAACCTTTTCAAATGAAACTTCGATTTAAAAATATTTTCGAACCCTCTGGACAAGTAAAATAGGATGTAATGGATAATTTACACAACAGGTAGGGTAGGATACTTAAACATCTAGTACTTAGATAGAGATATTATTTATTTTCTGGAGCTTTCAAGCCAGCAAGAGTGTTATTGTCCCTTTAAGATGAAATTTGTATCATCAATTAATTGGAATATTGTAAAACAGTACAATTTGTTGACCAGAATAAAGATTGGGACATATTATTCAGTTAAAACAAGAGTGGTATTGAGCCTTTAAATTGTTTCAATGACATTTAATAAATGGAATAATTATTATTTTATTGAGTAGATAAAATGGGTGATGCCGACCAGTTATCCCTGTTTATTAGCAGTGACTAGTTTCGTTCGTATTTTGTCTACGATATCACCCTTGGTGGAAGTGGACGTAAAACTCCAGTCTCCAGGAACGAACGATCGTTCGTATTGAACTCTGGCTTAAATGCATTAC